AATATTTGCTTTTTCTTCATTGACTAATATATTTATGCAATACTGGGGTCATTTTAAATTTGTTTCATTATTTGTTCCCTTTTTAGAAATAGGTTTAATAGCTCAATCCACAAGAAAATCAATTTCGATATATCAATTGAAAAGATGAACTTGTCCTTGAACTATCAGAAATGGAGATATAATTTCACTTTCTTCATTATTATATATAATTGTTATAGCCCATTCTCGATTATCTAATTGTATGACCTTGCTTCTACTATTTCTTTCAGAACTAGTTACAATTATTCCAAAGTATATTATACTTATCATAAAGCTGGTTTCATCGAAATTATAGAAATCGCAATCTTGAATACTATATTTCATTTATATATTTGATATCAATCCAAATCATTCTTTAATAAACTTAAGATCTTTATAAAAAGCTCTTTGAAAATTATAAATATAATTAAAACATATTTTTAATTTTGTATAATATTTTATAAATTGATAAATCTAGAATTTTCCAATTCTTTTTATATCTCTTGATTTGAGAATATAATTTATTATATCTTTTATATTATTTAATTTAGATATAAATCCTCTTTCATCTATATTGACAATATATTAAATAAGCACCTCTTTTTCTTTTTCAATCAAATTAAGATTATTTGCTCGAGTTTCTATTCTGTGAATTCAATTGCTTATTCTATCTCGTAATATAGTTCGAGGGACTTTGTAGATTTTCGCAGCCTTTCCAATTGTAAGATTTTTTGATTTTTGAATAGCTTCAATAGCTAAGATTATTCTGGCCTCTTTTGATTGTATTTCCATAATAATTCGTTGAAATATCGCGTCTTGAAATTGAATGATAAAAGATATTGAAAAAGTGACGACTCGCTGATAAACCACATTATAAAAAAATTTATTATTCAAAAAACTAATTGAAAGTTTTCAATACTTAATTATAAAAGATTATATTATTAAATAGTTAAAAAGTATTATATATTTAATTTTATTATTTCAATTTTCTTTTATAATATCTATTAAATAATCTCAAAAGATCTTCTGTTATTAAATTTTAATTAATAATATTATAAACTTATTAATAAAATTTAATAAAAAAAAAATTTTATTATATAATTTCTAATAATATTTAATAATATCCTGGTTTAATTATATCATATTCACTTATTATATATTTATAAATAGATCTTGAAAATCTCAGATTTTTTATTATTTTATTAATTGAAATTTTAAAGATTAAAATCTCGATTTGTGATTTATATTGAATTTATATACAAATTTGAAATAAGTTTTCAATAAAAATTATTGATAACAAACTATAATTTTTTTTTTTTGGAATATTTATATTACAATTAATCAAATAAATCAATTTATTTTAAAAAATAATCTATAAAAATCTTATTAATCAAAATATTCTGATTTTTAATCTTTATAAAATCTAAAAATATCAATAAAAAGTTTTCTATATATTTTAAAATTCAAAATTTCAATCTATTATATTTTATTTGATTTAAAGATTTCAAAAAAAGTTAAAATTTATTTTTGATAATTTTTATTGAAAAATTATTGAAAGTTTTTAAGATTTTCAAATTTGTATATAAATCCTATATATAATGAAAATCGTAATTTCAATCTTAAATATTTTGATTAATAAAATTATTAAAAAAATTAAAATCTTTAGAATTTACTATTATATATGTAATAAATCTACATTCTGAATTTTAGAAAATTATGTTTATAAATAAAAAAGTTATAAAAGTCGATTTCTGTTATTTTTGATAAAGAAAATAATTCATATTAAAAAATGACCCAAAAGTAAAATACTAGACTTATATAAACAAATTGAAAAATCTAAAGTATTTTTAATAGAAATCATAATAATAATATGATATTTCTATTATAATTAATTAATAAATTATTTTTAAAGCAAAATAAAAAAAATTATAAAAGTTATATATAATAAAAAATTAATTGATTTAAAATTAGAATTAAATTTTTTTATCATTTCTTTTTTCAATTAAGTAAAATCTTTTTTTTTTTATAAAAATATTAATTTAATATATTCAGATCGATTATAATCTATGTATTTTATATTAAAAAAACTTTTTATAAAGTTTTATAGATTAATAATTAAATAATCCATTAACTATATATTGATATTACAAAGATAGATTTGTTATTTATAATTATAGACATTTTATTATCTTTATCCCTGAAGCAATTATAATAATAAAAATAATTAGTTTTAATATTCAAAATCTTTTAAAACTAAGATATTAAATTTAGATTATAAATTTTATATTATAATAATCAAAGAATTTATTTTATTATTTATTAACTACTTTCAATTTTTTTATAAAGTTATTATTAAGTTACGATTTAATTAAATATAGTAATTTATTAAGAAAAAATAAATGTTTTAGTAAATTATCTTCTAGGGCTTCATTAAGTCGTCATTTGATTTTGATATAATACAATGTATGTAGAATGTTAAGACTGTCTTAGTTTTATTCTGCAAATTATACTATTCAAGAAGACTGGTTGTGTCGGCGGTACTGCCTTGTGTTGTCTGTAGCAAAATATACTACAAACCCGCGGGACTTTGATATCTTAGAAGATAGCAGATTCATTTCGCGTCTTTCTGCTTGTGGAAACCTGGATTTACATGCTTATTTTTAGCAGGATGAATTAAATACGGACTAACTTCTCAGAATTCCATCGATGGACATCACCTGGTAATAATATACTGAGTCTTCCCGACTATAGAATCTGAGACAACACCAAGGCATCGCGGGCTAGTCAAGCACCCAAAGATATTTGGCATCACAGGATGCAGCTTCTTATTCAGTAGAATTACATGATCATTGAGGCTGATGGTGTGGCTTCTCTGGGGTTATGAAAAGGTGTTGTCGTGCAAGATTTACCTATTGAAAAGCAGGATAGATCCCGTGATATTATTTACCCCGCTACGATCAGTTTCCGGGACTCGTTCTTAAATTAAAATATTCTATATCTAAGATCTATTACTGTATTTGATATAGTTATATACATGTGCAAATTCTATTTGATGATCATCTATAGAACCAAGAAATACTAGCATACCTGTGAGACAAGCTTTGCACTCTAGATACTATAACATCAATTTTAGGAAATTTTCATAGAAATATCATAAAAGCGCTTAAATACAAGTGGCACAAAAAATTTCATATATATTGTTTTCGGGCAAATAGATGAATAGAAAGCAGACACGAATTCCTAGACCTGGCTCTAGTCTTCCAAGACGGTTGACATACTTCCACAGTGTCTACAGCGTACATAATCTCAAGTATTACTCACACAAGCCAATGAATACATGCATAATCTCTGTTCCTTAGGTTGCGCAACATAGGTACCGTACATATGCACAAGAACCGTCTGGACTCATTTCTCCTTATGGATGCATATTCGCCTTGTGAGATTATGTTGTTGGCCGACCGATGTGATTACAATGTGTCATTTTCCCTAACCTATTCTTCTTCGGTCTACTCGGAAGATAGTGGCTAAGGTATGTGGTACAGCTTGTCCAGAACTCTTGGCGAAAGGTATTGTGCCAGTTTTGGTCAGCCCTGGGCAATATAACATCTTGGAATGCTGAGTTAAATGCAAAAAGAAAGATACTGGTCCGCATAGGAAGGCTAGAGTTGATTAGGCTTGCCTAGAGAATCATACTTAAGGTCAGGCACCATGGAGAACCATTACGGTTGCGCACTGATACGGGACAAGGAAGTAACATCAGATTAATAGCTATCGATAGTGAAACTTTGATAGCTCAAGAGAGTTTGGATGGTCGGAAATTGTTTTTGAAGTATGGATAGAAATCAAGACATCCGATTCGACGACATTGCAAGAGGCCCGGCAGAATCATTTGACGATACTCGGAAATGATAGACAATACACTCGGCACATGGAGGTAAAAACTTTCATCACGATGATTGTCTTAGAAGGATGTCTTATCTTCTCATGAAGTCATCTCCAGTTCCCGTGTGCCCTTAGCAGACACTTCTCCAAGATTTGCCTTCCAAGAAATATCCATTGCTGCTTTGAACGCAGCCACAAACTTCCATACATCCTCGAAACTGTTGTAAAGAGGAGCTGGCGCCACTCTTATCACGTTTGGTTGTCTCTCATCCACGACCACCCCACGCAACTCCAGCTCTTTCATAACCACATCCAACAATCCATCGGCCAACTGCAGACTCAGCTGAGCCCCTCTCTGTTCCCTATCCTGTGGCGTGATAATCGAAAATCTTCCTTGTTCGTAGATCGTTGTATCTAGAAGTAAGTCCTCCAAATAAGCAGTGACCTTCATGGATTTAGCCCTCAACACTTCCATTCCGCCGGCAAGTTTGAACACCTCCAATGATGCATTCAGACTTGTAATATCTAGCACACTTGGATTGCTCAATTGAAATCCCGCAGCGCCGGCTATCGGCACGAAGCGATTCTTCATGGCGAATCTCGTGTCTTTGTCATTACCCCACCAACCACTTAATCTATTCAGGAACCCAGGACCTGCATCAGTGTTTTGTGATGAATCAGGGACTCGTGTGTGCTTGTCATGAATAAACATTCCACCAATGCACCCCGGTCCCGCATTTAGATATTTGTAAGTGCACCATGCGGCTGCATCGACGTCCCAATCATGAAGGTAGAGTGGGACATTTCCAATTGCGTGAGCGAGATCCCAAATGACAAATATGCCGCAATCACGAGCTCTGCGTGTAATGAGGGGTATGTCGAATAATTGACCTGTGTAAAATTGAATCCCTGGGAGAATTAGAAGAGCTGTGTCTTTAGCATGGATTTCAATGGCTTTGAGTATGTAATCAGTGGAAAGCGTGGGCCCGGCAGTTGAATTTGACTCCAGGGTAATCATCGATGTAGCAGGTGAGAGGTTGTGATGTCGGATCTGCGACTCGACGGCGTACTGTACATTATTTAGCCGGCATAGACGATTGGTGACGAATGCGGATAGGGGTGACGCACGTGATCTGATGGAAATGCCTTGCTTTCTAATATGATTTTATGCCTACCATTGACATCGGGCTTGTAAAATGCGGACATGATGAGGTGCAAATTGGCAGTTAAAGTCTGCATGACATTAACTTCTGAAGGTTCCGCACCAACAATAGGGGCAATGTTCCCCGAAGCACTTGAATCTATGTGGAGCCATGTTGGCAAAGGCGAATCAGAAAGTGGTTTGAAATGACCAAATACACCTTGGGTTGCCCAAGTCTTGAGATGTTGCTCGATACGAGTCGAGGTGATACGCGGCTGTAAGCCAAGTGAGTTTCCACAAAGGTAAACGCAAGGATCGCCAGAAGTGGTATTTGAAGATTCTAAGGTGCCATTTAGTATCAGATCCAACCCGGAGAGTAGAATCTTGTACCCAACCTTGACAAAGTCCTGGCTCGCAAATCAGCCGTAGAAGGAATGAGGAATTCATTTCTGATCTGACGAAGAGGATCCTGACGTCTTGGGACACAGCATACCTCTCTGCTGTCATGTGCTGGCCTGGATGTCTGTGCTGATCGTGCTGTCATGACCAACATTATTTTCCGGAGAAGCCATGAAGACAAGAGAAACGTAATTTAATTTGAATATGCGAATGAAACGCGCTATTACCTCACGAACGACGAGTTTCATCAAGCTAACGGCTGTAGGCTCTATGAAGAAATTCCGGATTCAAATTGCGTGCCGTGGAGAGTCTAGGGTAAATGTCAAACACGGTCCCTTTTTTAAGCGGCAGGTGACACAATCCGGGGTAAGAGAAACTAACACGTTCCTGGGAAGCTGGGGAAGTATGGGACTTGATGGATTGACTTATTGCGATCTTGACCTTGTTGGAACCTTTGACCCCAGTATTGGCATGCAGCGATGTGTAATGAGAAATGCAAGCCCTTAGTCATGAGATTGGTCTTGAATTCTCATTATACAATCCAGACTCCGAATGACGACAGGTAATGAGAGATGAGGAAATTGGTTTGTCAAAGTCAGGAGACGAATGGGTATGAAATGAAGATCTATTGGATGAGGGGGATGAGAGGGATGAAAGGGACGAAGGGGGATGATGATGGATGAATTTTGAGGACCAAGGGTTGAGTAATGGTTGAGTAAAATTGACGTTGCTGAGTATGATTCCTGGATTTCCTGGGGGTAAGAGAAATCAATTTGGGGATTAGTAAATGGCGGGGTTGAGAAAGGTTCTTCGTAGCTAAGTCCCAAAAAGGGAAAGCGTGATCGAACATCACCAACATATTTTGCTTAGGTCATCAATTTTGTTATTTTCATTCAACTTAGTGTTAATTGTGCTAATGGTATTTATTGATTGCGTGATTGGTTTTTATCATCCACATCTTACTTTACTATATATAGATCTATCTGGGTGGTGTATCCTATGCATTTATTTTGCAATGCAAATAAATAAACCCATCCTAGTTAACTCTATTGACTTTCCTTTGACCACATTTAGAAGGTCATGAGAACGAATATCACGGGATCACCGGGGAATGGGGAATTAGTCAATGTCTTTATGCTTTGGAGATCTGAGATGCGAAACTAGTGAGAGTGACAGACAGAATCTAAGATGAGTAAATTGTGGATTATGGTGGATTTGGATTTACTCTGTACGACAGATTGAGAAAGAGGGATTGTCCGTCCTCGATAGCCTCTCTTTGAGACATCAATAATAATAAGTTTGAAGTAAACTTTGATCTATGTAATATGCAATACGTGAGGGAATAATTCCATTCCTGGTGCTCGAGTAGTGTCGATCTAATTAACTAATTGATTGAGTGAGCGAATGATGGTCAGTCAATTGAATGATACTCCAACATTGGCCCCATTGGAAGGTCACTACCATTGGACGTCTAGAGACATGCTGTACATACAGACTATGGAAAGGATGTTTATCACTGGATCTGAAATATTTTTTTCCTGGGGGTGAAACGTAAACACCGCACTATACTACTGTACTATACTTCGCTACCATGCTAGAATGTCCGAGTGTAACCCTTTTCTTGGCTGGCCCATATTCCAGAAACCATGAGTGGCTGAAGAGCTGCAACATCCCAACCAGAACAGGACAAAAGCTTGCCTCAGATCTCTATACTCTCTCTTACTTAGGTGCAGCTACTTGACTAAATAGGCTTCATTGAACTGAAGGTTACTCACGTAGTATAGTTTTATGGGTTTGAATTCTAAAACATCATATGATGTGCATTCCCAACACTTTCTATATAGTAACGAGGTAGATATAGGTACGAACGAGTTCAAACTCAGCCCTTTGAATAGATGGAGGAATGAGGGATAAAAAGATAACAAGATTAAAAAGGATAAAAATAGTAATTCTTCTGGAAGAGATATGGAACACTGAATAATTCGGATAACGGAGGTAAAGGGCTTTACGAGTTTCCAGCCCACCAGCCCTAAGTACCAAGTCTTTAATAAAAGTCTTTTCCTGGACTAACAAGCCACACTGCCACCGCACTGGATTCAACATATGTAAGATAGTTAAAAGGCCGTCGTAGTCTTAGATAGGCAATAAATACACTTTATGGGATTAGTCTACCGAGTTATACCCAGTTTAGCTGCCCACAGGGTTACGATCTGTTACAATTTCTGTGATGTGCCTCGAATAACCGCTTGCCGACCAGCAAAAAATGGATGCCCACTTACCACTATTGGGGAAGGAGGTTACTAGGCAGACCCTTCCTAAAGAGCGGTAAAGATCAAATCGATCAAATCGATCCAATTCTTCCTGTACCTTAGACTTTCACTAGATCGTCAGGTACCACCAAAGAAATCCCGTCTGAACAACACGAGCTAGTTATTGCATCAGAACCTGACCTTCACACATCCACCAGATCCCAAACCAGACCAAAACGAATCAATAACAAGACAAATCAAAGCAAGCAACCACTGCATGAGGCATGAGGTATGATGGGAGTGAGGGATGAGGCATGAGGGATGAGGCATGAGGGATGAGGCATGAGCTACGAGGCATGAGGGAGAAAAGAAAAAAAAAAAGGAAAGAAAACGCTCATTCTTGAATTCGTATTAACGCAACCTTATTAACTCAATTGAGGCTTTTGGGTTTGAAGTATGATTTTATTATAAATTGATTCAGTTGCTGCTGCCACTTTGTTAATTTGGAAAGCTTGAAAGATCGAGCATATCATTCATATCAATCATCATCTACCTACTTTTGCTTTTACCCCCCTTCATCAGGATATAAATAACAAGAGCTTTTCCCTTCACTTCCCACATTATCATATTCTGACTCGGGTTGTTTCCATTCTTTCTTCTTTTGCGTCTCCTCTTATCTTTAAAACAAGGAGTAGAATCGTGTTTGTGCATATATCGCTCAATACGAAGAATGCAAGACGAAAGAAAGAATCATCAATAATCTACCTACTTCCTGGTCTCTCACTGCCACCATTCTCCCAAAGAGATAAGACCGGCCAGCCTATCTATCCCCAAAGAATACCGGAACATCCATAATCACCACTCTCATCATCATCAGCCCTGTTCGTACGTACAGGATTAAAGTCCCGCTGCGGTATTCAAGATCTCATCTGATTTGGTCAAATAGGTACTACGGTGACGATACAAACAAACTAAAGCAAACTCAAAAAGTCTTTATTCGTTGATCATTTTTCAATACGCAATTCATTATTTTCACCATTTCCCCATTCGACAATTTGCCATTCGCCATACGGCTTCGAGATCGCCCAATTATATTTGTATCCACCTCTTGAGCCGCCTTCGATTTTGGATTTATTCACTCACTTTCTTGAATCCAACCGTTCCTAACCGGAAGTCTTACATCAACTAGGGACTGTAGCTAAAGAGCGTAGAGCCAGGTACTTTTCTGTGATTCCAGACAGTCTATAATTCTAGCACCTTCTCAAATTGAACACAACCAACAAACCGCGCAGTATATCTTTTGCATGATATACATCTCATATACCTCTTTCAAAGTCGCATCACAGTAGTACTTTCCTACTATTCCCACATCATAACGTGCAATTGGGGCCCGTGATACGAGTACTACACTACACTGCGAGTACCAAAACTTTCCGAGGTTGTCTATCTATCTATCTATCTATCTGTCAAATCTATCTATCAGGTACGTACGTTTGTTTATCCATGGCGCCGCAGATCTTCCATTCCTTATTTTTGCTACCCAACCCACATAAAATTTCCTTATCGCTTCCTATCAAAATAGACGCCTCCACTACCCTGGGGCATGGGCTTGGCAATTTTCACTTTCACCATTTTACGATTGATGGAGCAAGAGCACAAATTCTGTCTCAGACAACCGCCTCCCGGACTATTCTGAGTTCAAGCTTGCTCTGAAGTAGTGGAATTCACTGATAAGCATCCCTCCTAAGCAACGCAGGAAATGCAAGTCATGTCAAGAAATGGAGCGGTCAAGGAATCAGTGAGCTGGAACGCGACAGCTCATTCCTATTCCAATCATTGACCCTACCTTACCGGCTGCCTGGTATAGATAGGCATTGATTACCCTCTATCTTTCTCCTTTACTTTCATTCACTGCCTGTTCCTCTTTCTCTTGTCGCAGCAGTTCATTGCAAGAAGTCATTCTTTACATTGCAACCACGAGTAACAATGGTTGCACTTCTTTCTCCTATCAATACTGACTCAATGGCTGCTTCTCAGCAGTTTCCCACATATAACGAACAATCGTTTCCTCCCACGGAAGAAAATATGGCCACTGTCAGTAGTTCCACACCACGCTCTCCCCATAAGTTGGTGGAGCAAGTTATCCGAACTCCTGGTCGACAACCTTCACCACAACCAACACATTTCAACGTTCCCCATAGGAATGGCAACGGAAATGGACACCGCGTTTTACGTTCCGCCACTGTTGGATATGTTGCTCCTGAGTTCAAAGGCAGGACAGAGCAAATGAGCAAAGGTGAGTCAGACAGGCCCCTGATGACTGGGCACATCTAACTCCTTGAAGTAAGGGAACAGATCAAGGCAATGAAATGGATACCAGAGGAGTTGATTGATGCACAATTGGAGTGGTTCTACAATGAGCTTGGAATTGATGACGTCTACTTCCAGACTGAGAGCGTTGATGCCGTCGTCAGCAACATCACTTCGCTTTATGCTGCAAAGGTTGCTGCATTTGCTCGGGAAGACAAACGTCAAGAGATCCGATTGGACATGGAGTCTTCTGATCACGCCATATATATTGACACCAGCGAGCCCGGTATTAGTGCAATTGGTGGTCCACGATATGAGCACAGACTAGAAGCCAAATACTTGGATACATCCTCGAACCAGAGCTTTCGCGTCGAAAGTTTCCGCTCTACAAGCAATTTGTACAGTGGTCCTACTCCAACAAAGTCTTCGATACGTTGTTACTTCGTGTATCAATCCCAATTCGTTGACTCCAATCCATCGCCCAGCGAAACTCGCTTAGAAGTTATCAGCGACCGAATGTTCCTTGCGAAATCTACCAAGAACACCAAGCAGATTTATCAAGAGATTATTGAACTTGCTGTCTCTCGTACTGGACCAGTCATTGAAGTCTTTGATATTGAAGATTCAAACGAAAAGAGGTTGGTTGTGGCCTTTAGGCGCAGAACAGCCTTGGGATTGTTCAGTGCTCTGAGTGATCTCTACCATTCGTACGGAGTGACAAGCTCGAGAAAATATGTTGAGCAGTTCAGCAATGGCATCACTGTGATGAGTTTATATCTCAAACCTGCAAGCAACTTATCGGGGAACTTCCCAACGCTTGAGCAGTCCATTCATCAAATCACCAAGGAGATTTCCCTGCTTTATTGCATACCACAAAACAAATTCCAAGCATTGTTTGCCAGTGGACGCTTAAGTCTCCAAGAGACAATCTATGGTCATTGTGTTTGGGTTTTCGTTCAGCACTTCCTCAATCGCTTGGGTTCCGAATACTCCTCATTGGTATCTGCATTAGATCCACTCAACAGTTCTCACGCCGAGATCTTATCTACAATCAAGCGTAGACTGCGCACCGAGACTTTTACCTCGGATTATATTCTCGAGATTATCAGCAATCATCCGGAACTTGTCCGTTCATTATACGCCTCATTTGCAAACACACATCTTACCCTTGCTCCTGGATTCAGCGAGGATTCGATTCCACCCTCACCATCAGGAGACGTTCTCAACGATAGAGAACTCAAAGAGCTAATCTCGAGGACCGTGAGCAATGAGCACGAAGACATGGTTATGACTGCATTCCGTATCTTCAATAATTCGCTCTTGAAGACCAATTTTTACACGCCTACCAAGGTTGCTTTGAGCTTCCGTCTTGATCCTTCATTCCTCCCTGAGATCGAGTACCCTCAGCCATTGTATGGCATGTTTTTGGTAATTACATCCGAGTCACGCGGATTCCACCTTCGATTTAGAGACATCGCTAGAGGAGGCATTCGAATTGTCAAATCCCGAAATCGTGAGGCATACTCGATCAATGCTCGGTCTATGTTCGACGAGAATTATGGTCTAGCCAACACCCAACAACGCAAGAACAAGGATATTCCCGAAGGTGGCTCCAAGGGAGTTATTCTTTTAGATGCCAATCAGCAAGATAAAGCCAGCGTAGCGTTCGAGAAGTACATTGATAGTATCATGGACCTTCTCCTACCGCCTTCGTCCCCGGGTATCAAGAATCCTATCGTTGATCTTTATGGCAAGGAAGAAATTCTTTTCATGGGTCCCGATGAGAACACTGCTGATCTTGTCGACTGGGCTACGGAGCACGCTCGGAAGCGTAATGCTCCGTGGTGGAAATCATTCTTCACTGGGAAGTCTCCTAAGTTGGGAGGTATACCACACGATAGTTATGGTATGACATCTCTGTCAGTCAGAGAATACGTCAAAGGCATTTATCGAAAGTTGGAGCTTGATCCTATCAAGGTTCGGAAGATGCAAACTGGTGGCCCAGATGGTGATCTAGGAAGCAATGAGATCTTACTGAGCAACGAAACTTATACCTCGATTGTCGATGGCAGTGGTGTAATTGTCGATCCACAAGGTCTCAACATTGATGAACTCAAGCGCTTGGCCACGAAGCGTGCTATGATCTCGGAGTTTGATCTCTCAAAGCTATCAAGCGAAGGTTATCGTGTCCTGTCGATGAAACAAACATCACCTTGCCCAATGGAGACTCCATCAGCAATGGTACAACTTCCGTAACACTTTCCATCTACGTGACACTGGAATTACTGATGTTTTTGTTCCTTGCGGTGGTCGCCCAGCAGCTATTGACCTTTCCAGTGTCAATAAGCTTATCAAGGATGGAAAGTCGACCATTCCGTACATCGTCGAAGGCGCCAACCTTTTCATTACCCAAGATGCCAAGCTACGATTGGAAGAAGCCGGATGCATTCTTTTCAAGGATGCTTCTGCAAACAAGGGTGGTGTGACATCTTCATCCCTAGAAGTCCTTGCATCCCTGAGTTTCGATGATGAAGGTTTCGTGGAAAACATGTGTGTAGGAAATAATGGCCAAGCTCCTCAATTCTACAAAGAATATGTGAAGGAAGTACAAGAAACCATCAAGATGAATGCCGAGCTCGAGTTTGAGGCTATTTGGAGAGAACATGAACAGACGGGCATTCCACGGAGCACATTGAGTGACACTATTAGTGTGGCCATCACTAAACTTGATGAAGAACTTCAAACATCTGACTTATGGCGAGATGCAAAGTTGAGAAAATCGGTGTTACTTGATGCTTTGCCACAATTGTTATTGTCCAAGATTGGTCTTGACACAATTATGCAAAGAGTAAGTTTATCTATCTTTATTTACGCAATCACTCAACTAATATCAATAGGTGCCCGAAAACTATCTCCGTGCAATCTTCGGTAGCTTTCTTGCAAGCCGATTCGTTTATGAGGTCGGCAGTTCGCCGGGTCAATTCGCTTTCTTTGACTTCATGTCGAAGAGATTGGCCAATGTTCGCCCTAGGTCTCCGTCTTTGTAAGTGAAGCCGATGCAATCAAATGGCTATGGAGATATTTTGCATGGAAAGGAGTTATCAGTGGTGTTGGCATGGAAACTTTGGGCGACGCGTGGAGATGATCTGAAAAATAAAATATGATAAGATGCATTAGTTAGCATCGTACGCTTTCGTTTGATTTCCTTTAGTTTAACAGGAGTTTGGTTGGTAATAAGTGGACTGGGTGATTGGCATGAAAGCGGAAGTGACGTTCTCTTTGGGTTATTAGTGGCTGCAGTCACCGTAGTCTTACCTCCTCATAGGTAGACAACAGCAAAGTAAAGTGAAGGAAAAGCATGATTTCTGTCTTTTTCTTTTTACATCCTTGTGCAGATTTGGGCATGAGCAATCAGATCATTGTTGTATCACTCTATTTAGTCTTGTTTCCTTGGCGCATAATAGATTAGATCGTGGGCGGCGTATTTAGATGAAGACATAGCATTGGATAGCATTAGACGTAGAACTGCGCTAGCCGTCCTTGAATAAGGAAGAGCAAGCCTTGAATAGATGATCTAAAGACAGGCGACTGGCCAGGCTTTGATGTGTGAGGCGTGGTCATTCGCGAGTGCTTTGTATCCATTTCTGGCGACATTCAGCAATTTTGTGTAAATGACCCTAGATGTACGCCGCATCCCTGCGATTCGCGTCAAGTCCTAGACCTCGGCGGACGAATGAGTCTGGGGAATGATGATCTGGAATAATGCGAACACATACCATTGAGACGGGTGTAATGGAGATTTCAAGAAATGATCTAGCTTTCTACTCTTACTCTATTTGCATCTGCTCCTTATTCATCAATAAATTGACACCAATTCTTTGAATGTAAGTTTTGTTAATCAAAGAAAGCTTTGAAAAATTCTGGGCTTGAAATATGTTGAAACGCGCCGATTTAGGCAATATTTATCGCCAACTTATTCCCACTTGAACCAAACAAACCCACGATGAAACCACAATAAGATATGCGTTTCCAGTGGCAACTTGCCTCTTCAGAGTATGTACTTACAGGCGGCGGAAAGAATGAAGAGCATGATCGACAATGCGGGGCGCAAAGCTTAATGGAGTTAGTAGTCTAGCTCATAAGTAAAAGTGTATCCTTGATTCCCATCAAGGGGTTACTACAAAGAATAAATCTTTGTAGTATTTGCTCTATCGACTATGAGCCAAGGAAGCAAGAGGGTGGATAAACCTAGAGGTAGAGAGAGGGCATTAGTTGAAGAGAAACTAGGCAATATTTGAGGGAATACTGCGCAACAAATATAACGGCTTTTAGTGCTTCGATATTTGTGAGAATAAAATTTGAACAATTTAAATGATTTTCATGACATACTGAGACTACTATGAAGTATATGAGCTTTGAAAGATGAGTATTTTGTACAAGAGTAATTATTGTGCATTGAAGTTCACACAGTGCTTATCAAAGCCTCACAGTTATATTTAAAAAAAAACTAAAACAAGTATTCAATCAAATCATGATCTTGAACCATACACAAATGCAAATAATATTCAAGTCACAAGCTTGCCCAGAGAGCCGTTACGCCCTCTCCAAAGCTCTCACTCAAACACTCACCGTGCTCTCCCAAACAATTTTCCCAGCATCCTTCCTGTAATCCGGTAATATGTCACCATCAGGTGCAGAGTGATCATCTGCCTTAAGTCTGTAGACCCCATTGGACCCTCCATTCTCATTTACTACCGAGCTCCTTGCGACCTCCACACGAGCAGGCAATTCTACCCCTGAGACACCTCCCTCTCTTAGCTCGGTAGGCGGATACCTTGAACTAATAGCTAAGAATAATCCTCTTTCACCGGCTTCCTCCACGCTCATTGCAAATAGATTGAGAACAGGTAATACCATCAATCTAAAGAAAGTTGCTAGGATAGCATAAATTCCCGTCGTAGAAGACATCAATCTACCAACCGCTCCAGTATCAACGAATCCTGGATACTTGTGAATGAAAGAAATGCGAGGGTTAGACTTCGCTAGTTCTTCGAAAGCTAGAGTTGTTTGAGTTGTTCCATTACTGGCAGCTTTCATCATGCTGAAATTTTGCTTCACTTCGAGGTCGTTGAGATCAATAGATTTCTCTCGACCACCCGCTAGGATTGAAATGACACGGGGTTTGGGTGCGGCTTGCAGGAGAGGGAGCAAATCATAGGCAAAGCGGAGACGAGAATAGTAACGGAGAGATTGAGGACTGTCAATTCCTTCAGATGATTCTGGATAATGTCAATACATAGTGGAAAAAGAAGGGACAGTGACGAGGATGTACCGGTCCGACCATCAAAGGACAAGTAGCCTGCACTTAGGAATACGAAATCAACTATCTCCTATTTCCTTTTGACCTCATCGCACAGTCTATCCACTTCCCTGATTAGAGAACTTTCGCCTTCAGGGAAACACAGTATTGCTGATGGGTTTGAGAGTCTCAGATCATTGACCAGACGACCCGCAGCTGATTCTGAACGTCCAAAAATATATGCTTTCGGAGCATTTGCGTACTTGACAAATGCTTTCAATGTACCCATTCCGATACCCGATGTTGCACCCACAAAGACGGCAACCATACCAGGAGTAGCTATAGCTTTGAAAGTAGCATTGGAATCCCGAACATCTTTGATGGTGACCATAGTTCTTGCTACTCTGGTTTTGATGGATTTGGTTTTTGCAATGCTGTATAAACTTCGCAGGGTGAACGAAGGGAATTTCACGATTTTATATAAATAAAACGAATGTTGAAAAATAGGGAATATGCGATGTGAACAGTGAATCACATTCCAGAGAAGTTTTATCTGATGTATATATGTGTGAAATCAACACACAATCACAGTCACATCACGATACTCGACTTGATGTCAAGCTTATGTGGATTGTATACATCTCAGATCTATAAGAGCCAAGGATGGATTATAAATCTAGTACCCTACTTTTGGGCCACCTTCCTTTTGGGCCACTTCTCCCCTCCAAAAATGACGAAAATCAACCTTTATGACTTTTTTATTTATAAATATAATTCTTTGAAATTTTAATTACAAATTTATTGCTTATATGATAATAATATAACGATACTATACTGGAGGCAGCGGCTGCCTAAGGTTTCGTCTGGTTGGTAGTTGTGGGTTAAGGCTTTATCACTGGTCTTCATTTGGAAGTAAAGTCGTTACTAGATCAAATAAAATATAGATAAACTAATTGATAATTAAGTTGAGTATAAAGTTTCTTAACTACAAGATTAAATGAATGTTTATATACCCTATATCATCTTTTGAGGACCTTTGGGACCCTAAGGTCCAAAAGGTCCTCAAGGTCCTCGAGGTCACATGAATTAATGAATCGTGACATAATATTATATATAAATTATAAAATCATTTTTTTTTTTTAAAAAAAATTATTTTTATTTAAATATAATAATACCTAATGAAAGTTATTTCAATAAATTTTAGATCTTTATTATTATTATTAACGTGGTTTATTATCGGGTCGCCAATATCACCGGGTCGCCACTTTTTTCACCATTCAACCACTTCAATTTTGTATTATTCAACAACTACTCAATCAATTGATTGAAACTATTAAGAATCTAATAATCTAGGGTCTATTATACTATTTTAATAAGTTCTTGAATTGTGATCAGTTCTCCCATATATACTACAGCATCGATTAGAAGATGCTTCTCCATTAGAATTCCCTCTCTTTTGATGTTCATCGCGTTGAATCTGAACATCAACCTTTTGTTGAAATAATATATCAAAAGCCTCTTGTTCAGTAAGCACTCCTTGACGTAATTGAATCTTTTTTGCGCATCGACGTTTGCTTAATGCCTCGTTTGCCTTCCGAAGTGTACGATTTTCTGCATTTAAAAGTATATTCTCATATGCTAATCTCTTTGTACCTTTAGCTAGAGTTAATACAGTTTCGAATATAGATGTAGGAGAGCTTGATTGATGATGACTTATTCGAGATTTTATTAAAGTTGATTGAGAAAGAGCTTCAATTGGATTGTGAGGTGTTTGAGAGATTCAAGGATCTATATTGAGAGAGGGGGGAGTAGGTGTATGAATTCGAATATCTAACTTTGAGAGTACAGCTTCAGGATTAAATGGTATTAATCCAATTCCTCGAAACCCAGCTTTTATATTCTGAGATGTAATTGATTGTTGATATACAGCTTTGAAAGCTATAAAGAATTCAACTTTAGAGATATAATTGATATATACTTTGATAAATCCATCAATTTGATTATTATACAAGTGTTTCAAGACATTAAAACATCTAACATCGAATAATTGAGTTAAATAATTAGAATATATTAATAGCTTTATATATATTATATCATTTGCTTTGCAATATGATTGAAAAGATATTGATTTATAACTTTTGTATTTATTCAACATTAATATTCGATATTTGCTTTTTCTTCGATGAATAATATATTTATCGAAATGCTTTAATCATTCTAACCCTATCTCATTATTTGTTTATCCATTGGAAGTAGATTTAATAGCCCAATCTATAGGAAGATCAATTTCGGTATATTAATTCGAAAGATGGATTTGTCCTTGAACTATCAGAAATGGAGGTATAGTTTCACCCTCTTTATTACCACATATAATTGCTATAGCCCATTCTTGATTGCCTGATTGTATTGTCTTGCTTCTACTATTTCGTTCAGCACTAGTTACAACCATACAGGCAACTATAATCCCCATCATGAAGCCTGTTTCATCGAAATTATAGAAATCGCAATCCTGAATACCATATTTCGCTCGCATATTCAATACCATTTGAAACTATCTTTCAATAAGCTTAAAATCTTCACAAAAAGCCCTTTGAAAATCATAAACACAATTAAAACACATCTTTAATTCTATATAACACTTTACAAATCGATGAGCCCAGAGCTTTCCAACCTTCTTTATCCTTTACGATTGAAGAATATAATTCGTTATATCTTCCATATCATTCAATTTAGGTGCAAACCCTTTATCATCTATATCAATTATATACTGAAGAAGCACTTTCTCTTCTAATTCAGTTATTTTATACCTATTTGCTCGAGTTTCCATTTGGTTATTTCGATTGTTGTGTTACGTCCAAAACGATTAGTATGTCACATGACCATAAAACATGTGATGGAACGGTGAGGAACGAACGTTCCTAGGAACAACCAGGAACGCTCGTTCCCAGGAACGACGATTCCTAGTTAACCATAGGCACGAAGGACTATATAATCAAGATGGATTTCTTTTGTATAGAGCTTCGTGCTCAAGATCAATCATTTAGTATACTCTACTATTAGTTACGAATTGCATATCATTATTGTCATTACTTCAAGTCCCTGCTTGACGCCTAGTTATAAACCTACTTCGAGAGCCTAGAGCACTTCCACGTGATCTAGACGGCAAACCTCGTAACATGTTGATTCTATTGCGTAATGTAGATCGAGATACTAAATAGACTTTCGCAGCTTTCATAATTGTCAAATTTTTAGACTTTCGAATAACTTCAATAGCTAAGATGATTCAGGCTTCTTTTGATTGTGTTTCCATGATAATTCATTGAGATATCCCGAATTGAAATTGAAGTGGTTGAATGGTGGAAAAAGTTGGCGAGCCCGGGATATTGGGGGACCCGATGATAACCACGTATATATATATTATATATATATATATATATATTATATATATATATATTATATTATTATTATTATTATTATTATTATTATTATTATTATTATTATTATTATTATTATTATTATTATTATTATTATTATTATTATTATTATTATTATTATTATTACTATTATTGTTATTGTTATTTTTATTATTATTGTTATTGTTATTGTTTATAAGTCTAATATTTTACTTTTGGATTATTTTTTAAAATCATTATTTTTAATTATTAATAACTTGTTACGAGGTTTGCCGTCTAGATTATGTGGAAGTGCTCTAGGCTCTCGAGGTAGGTGTAACGATACTGTACCGGAGGCAGCGGCTGCCTGAGGTTTCGTCTGATTGGTAGTTGTGGGTTAAGGCTTTATCACTAGTCTTCACTTGGAAGTGAAGTCGTTACTAGATCAAGTAGAATGTAGGTAAACTAATTGATAACTAAGTTGAGCACGAAGCTCCTAAACTATGAAACTACTCTGACTATATACTGAACAATAAAGGGGGCCCCTAAAAGCTTTCTGGCTCCTCAAGACTCCTTATCACGCGATTTCTGATGGTGCGTGCGCATACGATCTTCAGGTGACCAAGATCACATACTAATTCGATGAAATCTGATCGTGTTTGCGCACGGCCTAAGCTCTCCTAATTAATCAGTTTGCTACCATCGTAACACCATCAATCCTAATGGTGAATCGTGACAGTAGGTTTATAACTAGGCATCAAGTAGAGACTTAAAGTAATGATAATAATGATATGCAATTCGTAACTAATAGTAGAGTATACTAAATGATTGATCTTGAATATAAAGCTCTATATAAAGAAAATCCATCTTGATTATATAGGCCTTTATATTTCAATCATTGAAACGATGAAGTTAGGGAGCGAGATTCGAATCTCGCTTTCTTACAAGATTATTATTACGAGGTTTACTGTCTAAATCACATAGAAATACTTCAGGCTTTTGAGATAATTTATAACTAGATGTTAAACAAAGACTTAAAGTAATGACAATAATGCAATTCGTAACTAATAGTAGAGTATACTAAATGATTGATCTTGAGCACGAAGCTCTATACAAAGGAAATCCATCTTGATTATATAGACCTTCATGCCTATGGCTAGTCAGGACCGCTGCGCGGTCCTGGACAGCCAGCGTTCCTCAGCGGTCCATAACGTGACTTTAATCACGTTACCTTGGTTTAGTCATGTGACGCGGCATAGAAGATAGCCGTTGTAACAGCCTAGTTATAAACCACCTCGAGAGCCTAGAGCACTTCCACGTGATCTAGACGGCAAACCTCGTAACAATTTGAAGGTTTCAAAAAAATTTACAATTTATTTTTAGTAATTTTTATTGAAAAGTTATTCAAGGTTTTTAAGATTTTTAAATTTGTATTTTATATTAAATCTTATACAAATTGAAAGTTGTAATTTCAACTTTCAATATCTCAATCAATTGTCACACTCAAGAATACTGGGTAAAGTATCTTGTATTAGAAAATACTAAGCTAAGGAGAAAAGAAGAAGGAAAACAAGAGTAGAGAGTTTTCCTATGATTAAATACAAACGGGGCATGCCACGTGACCCGGAGGTGTGAGGCGTCACATCAATAAAATCACGAAAAATCTGAAACTTTTAGAATTTATTTGTCACGATTCATTAATTCACGTGACCTCGAGGACCTTGAGGACCTTTTGGACCTTAGGGTCCCAAAGGTCCTCAAAAGATAATATAAAGTATATAAATATTCATTTAGTCTTGTAATTAAAAAAAGCTTTATACTCAATTTAATTATCAATTAGTTTACTTATATTCTACTTGATCTAATAACGACTTTACTTCCAAATGAAGACCAATAATAAAGCCTTAACCCACAACTATCAACCAGACAAAACCTTAGACAACCGCTGCCTTGTTACGAGGTTTGCCGTCTAGATCACGTGGAAGTGCTCTAGGCTCTCGAAGTAGGTTTATAACTAGGCGTCAAGCAGGGACTTGAAGTAATGACAATAATGATATGCAATTCGTAACTAATAGTAGAGTATACTAAATGATTGATCTTGAGCACGAAGCTCTATACAAAAGAAATCCATCTTGATTATATAGTCCTTCGTGCCTATGGTTAACTAGGAATCGTCGTTCCTGGGAACGAGCGTTCCTGGTTGTTCCTAGGAACGTTCGTTCCTCACCGTTCCATCACATGTTTTATGGTCATGTGACATACTAATCGTTTTGGACGTAACATGCCTTTAGTATAGTATCGTTATATATTATTATATGTTAAAAGGAATAGAAGTTACCGGTACTAATCACGTGTCGTGATTAGTAATACGGTTACCTAAACAGGCTAGATTAGACGAACCATAAGCAGGCATATTGGTCCCCTCCGAGGATACCAAGAGGAGATCTTAATATGCCTACAGACGTAGTAATATAGTCAATATAGAGGCCTCTTCCACCCAATCTTTTAATATTATACTAGTTTTTTAAATTAATAATTTAATTAATATATTATTACTTTTCAATTGAATATAAATAATTGATAATTGATTAACTATATATATATCAATAAGTCAGACATAATAAATAAAAATAAATTTGACTCATTTAATTTATAATCGGTTCTCAGTGCATCCACCAATCGGAGAAAACTGCGCAAAATCTTGCCCCTCCCCACCGCCATCGCGCTATCAATAGAGTGCTTCTAACTTTTGTGATTACAATGTTGTCAACCTTACCTTACATAAGCTTTCCACTCTCCCATATTCAATCCAGTTCAATACCGTGGTTCTGACTCTTGTTAATTATGGCGACCCGATGTCTTACACGCAGATGTGCTGGGCTTACCTCCGCTCCTCCTACATCAGTTGTCCAAGGATTTATAAAGACAGCCACGACAGCTCGACCATTCCATCAAAACACCCCGCGTCCGATCTTCGACTTCCTCGCTCCACGTTTGGGTGCTCCCTTCCAGTCATATGTTCTCAAGCGGAATAGGATATCAAGGGACTCTATTAGGTATTTCTCGAATACTGTGGTACGGAAAGCTACTGTCACTACATTCAATCCGCGAAAAAACGATGATGGGACAGAGCAGAAGATTGAAATTACACCCCGGGCTGCAGATGTACGTATTTTTGTCTTCCCCTCCTACCGCCCTCTTCAAGCACCGCAAATCCGATTATATACTAATTGTTTGTTCCCAGCGTCTACAACAACTGCGCAAAAAAGAGAACAACCCCAATCTCGCTCTCCGGGTCGAAGTCCAATCGGGGGGCTGCCACGGCTTCCAATATGTAATGTCTTTATGCGATCTCCCAGCCAATATCTCTCGAGATCTTTTCTCCAAAGACCCTGTCCAATCCGAATCTTTTTCCTCTTCCAGTACCTCATCCACAGATTCAAATGCCATGCCTACTTCATCTAGCTCTTCGAAGTCAAATACCTCAGCCACAATGGATCTTCGCGAAGATGATACAGTATTCAGCTACATTAGCGATCATTTACATGCCAACGTCGTTATGGATGTCTTTAGTCTTGACGCCTTGAAAGGTAGTAAAATAGATTACGAAGTCAAGTTGATCGGTGCCGAATTCAAGATTATTGACAATCCTGCCGCCACTAGTAGTTGTGGTTGCGGAACAAGTTTTGACATCAAGTTTTGAGTCTGAAAAGGGTCGATGACTGTACTATTAATTACTGGATTACTTTTAATTACTGGATATGGAAAAGGCATTTTCAGCATTTTTTACAAAATTCCGGGATACGTTCTACCATCTGGCTTGGGCTTAACTTGAATGTCGTGGTGTAATTTGATATGGTGTAAACCAGCAGCTGAAGTTGACATGAACATGAATTTGTGGAGGAATCTCAAAATAAGTACACATCCCTACGGGTGGCCTTGCATGCGCTGTCGATACCTGTGCTTTTGAGGTCTCACTCCCTGTAAAAAGACCTGGTAATTCAAGAAGCAAACAGATTTAGAAAGCACAATAGAGATATCGTGTTCCGATTCAATTGAAGACTAGATAGGAAGGACATCATCGAGCACAATGCTTTGCAAGTGAAAAAAGTCGATAGCAGCAGTCTTGGGGTGGCACGTAGGGAACTTTAAGAAGTGAAAGTTGCTTTGCAGTAAAATCAAAAATGGTATCAATTATCTTAAGAGAAGTGTATTATTCTTTTGGGTTCTTATACGTCATACATGCCAGTAAACGCTAAGCCAAAGTAAATACCCCCAGTCCCATCAACCAAGCTTTAGTTCATTTGTCTGACCAAAGCGTTGATCTTCTCCTCACGGTTACCAAGGTCACCACCAAGAACGTAGTGGTTGAACTTTCTTGGGCGGAAACCACCAGTTGGGTTGCTGAGCTTGAATGGCCAGAGGAAGTTGGCGGCTTGCTTGAAGTTGGGGCCGACGGTGAAGATCTCGTGGATCAAATCTTCCATACAGACAATACCGTATTTTCCGAGGTTGGCCTCGATGATGGAGTTGTCGGTAAGAGCAATGCGTTGCTTGTCGACCTTTCCGTAACCACGCTTGTAGACGAGCTCACGGACGGTCTTGAGGTTAGGGTAACCATAAGCGATCCATGGCTCAACAACCTTGAGCATCTCGAGGGTAGCCTTGGTCATACGAACGAAGACACCGTTGTTGATTTGAAGAAGACGGAGGAGCTGGAGAATCTTGCGAGGCTTGGGTGCGATCTTGTTGATACCCTTGATACGGATAACGAAGACCAACTTGGGCTCAGCTGGGATGTAGAAAGAACCAGATTGCTTGGCGACACGAGCAAGACGAATCTTCTCCCGCTCCTCGTCACGGTACTCCTTGACGTACTTCTCAGCACGCTTGAAGATGACACCACGCTTCTCCTTGTTGGCCTATATGATGAGAAAGATTAGTCTCGCAATCAAATATAAATGTGAATACCAATGGCATGTGTTGAAACTTTTGTCAGACCCGAAAGATGATTAATTTGGACAACATCGACGTGAAGTCTAGTCACAAGTATGGTTGTTTATGCATCATATAAAGTAACACATGCTATTGAAGGTGGAAGTGGAGTTGGTTCACGACGTACCTTCTTGACCTTCTCGGTCTCAGCAGCTCGTGCCTCTCTCTCCTTGGCTTGACTCTTGCGCTTCTTCAAAAGCGTCTCAGGGATGAGAACCTGCTGAGCGGTTGGGGTGGTTCTGTATCAAATATTAGTCTGGTATCCAGCATACACATGTATGGAGAAGAGCGCCGAGAGGGAATTGCGGCTATAGCGCAGCATTCTCGCAAAAGGCAGACTCGACTGTAATATCTTTAATCGGTGAAAACTGAATCGATATCGACAACCCCTCTTCCCACGAAGGTAGAATTGCAGATCTCAATTGGCAAATATTCTCATCCGACAAAACCCAGGCAGACGCCTAGAATATATGCACAACATTATTGAATGTTTTCGTGGTCTTAAAAGGTACCATTGTATTTCCATTCATGTGTGACAATTGTTTTAAAGGAGAAGATTTTAATCTTCAACCTCAAGACCCCATACTACGTCTCTCGAAGCTCAAGCCAAAAGACATGAATCAACGAGGGAGTAGCTTGAGACAGTTCGAGCTGGAAACCATTTCAGGTTCCAGCTTTCGAGAGGAACGCGACCATATCTGAATCCAGCACAATCAATCGACTCTTGGAAGGAGTTTGGGGGTATTCTTACGTGGCAGACATCGTGGTGGGTTGTCGATTTCGAGGTTGTCGTGTCGGAGGGAGAAATGTCGAAATATCTATTTGTTAAATTGAAAATTTATTCTAAAGCCGGATGTGTGAGAAATCGACTCGCCTAATTATGACGCTAGTGGTATTAGCTCTGCTCTCAATGCACATTGCGCATGTCACGTGTTAAACTCCAGAGAGCGCGCAACCTTCCAAATTAATTTACACATTTTCTGAAGTTCCCGTGGCATGATAATCCATTCATATTCTTTAATTATTCTCCCTTGAAACGCACTTCGTTTCAATCTCGACACCGAGAAGTTACTCATTTACATCGCGAAAGGTGTCCAATAATGTCCACAATTTATGCCATAGGCTCAAATGGCTCAGGACAACTTGGAATTGGTCATAAAGAAGATGTATCAGTGCCCAAGCCGGTCATTTTCGAGGATGATGTTCCCGAAAAAGTCCAGCAAATCGCAGCTGGAGGTAATCACAGCCTCATATTATCGACCACAGGTAAATTATACTGTTCGGGGGATTCATCCTACGGAGCCTGTGGACTCACTCCCGATTCGCACTTTGCTGAATCAACATTTCGACGTGTGAAACTTTCGGATAATTTCACAATTAATGAAGGACCAGTAGCATTCTGCGCGGCAACTTGGGAAGCATCTATTATTGTCCAGCGAGATGCAGATGGTCACGCAACGAAGGTGTATTGTTTTGGGACAGGAAACAGAGGAGAGTTAGGTCTGGGACAGTTTCTGTTTCGATCATCCAAACCTCAGATGATTGAAGATTTTCCACCCGTTGGGCTAGAAGTAGTCGATATCGCCACATCTGTCAGTCATGTGGTCGCTGTCTTGAGTAATGGAGATGTATATGGTTGGGGAAGTGGCCGAAAAGGACAACTTGGTCACCCTGACAGTGTCGTGTATGCTCCTCGCAAGATTGAAGGCCTCGATTTCAAAGTTGTCAGAGCTATCTGTGGAAGGGAATTCACATGTCTTTTGGCGGAGCCCTCCAGTGGTCAACACAGAATTATAGGCTCTGACAAGTGGAATATTAGATCTTCAGCACCGGAGAAAATATCCGGATGGACAGATGCTGGTAGCACATGGGGAAGTATTCTAATATTGAAAAGTGATGGGTCACTTGTTTCCTGGGGACGAGATGACCATGGGCAGTTAGCTCCATCGCGACTACCATCCGTAACTCAAATTGCTATTGGCAGTGAGCATGGTCTGGCACTCACCGCAGAAGATGAAGTCTGTGCATGGGGATGGGGTGAGCACGGAAATTGCGGACCAAAAACTAAAGATGGAGATGTGAAGGACACCTGGAATGTGGTAGCATCTACTAAATACATGCCAGTAGCAGCAAAAATCTCATATATCGGCGCCGGGTGTGCTACGAGCTGGATCTGCCTCAACTCATGATAGCCTACGCAAGGTGGACAGATCATTATTCTCACAAGCTACCCGCTAGTCCCCCAAGGGCTGTTTGCCTCGCGGCCGAAACTCTGATGTACCCGCTTGTCGGCATGAGTATCCGGGCTGCATCCCTTCAAGGTCATACCCGCACCCGACCCATTTTGTACGATCCGAGCGGCCTATAGCTCGTTTAATTCTCTATCTATGGACGCCTAAGCCAAGATATCACTCATCAAACATACCACGAACCTAACACGTTAATAAACTTCCTGGCTACAAAAGTTTGGTGACTCACTTGTGATAGGCGCTGAGTTGGTGCCACACGTTGTGTTGGCACGGTTATATATTTTTCGCTAGGTACCTCCGAATCCTTGGGGTTACTTTTGTTCTGAGTCTCTTGTAATCGGCGACTTGGATCACTAGCCGAGGATTCCTGTGAAGTGTTAGAAATAGCTTCGGGCAGGTCTCCACCAAACTTACGTCTACATTTGCATCCCACAGTAACATCTCATTGTCCTCATACTCATAATCAACAGGGTCCCATCTACGGTCGTCATCGTTCGCCGGCATAAACAGCGCTTGCGATTGAATGCTGGGTTGGGGAGGTGGAGGAGAAGGCCTAGAAATCTTTCTTCTCGTGTTCTCTCGAATCAGATTTTGTTCTGGATCAACTGGTGCAGCCATCTCGGAGCCAAATCTAGTTCTTTTCAAACTCGATGTGGCCTCCAAGGCCTGTCTTACAGCTGGTCCTTTTGAAGCTCGAACCCCATTTGTCGCTGGTATTGTAGATATCGCCCTTGCTTCACCGGTTGTCATAAGGATAAATTCGCACTGCATTCCGTCCTCACTGTACGTAAGCTGCATTGGACTTGAAGGATTTGAGTATAAAGCTCTAATGTTTGTGTTGGTTATCCCTGCATGAGCGATGATTGACTTGAAGTCTTTGACGCTGGTAATAATATGAAGCTGCTCTTCGACGCTGAACTCGACGAATTCCGAGGTTTCCACGGCGATTGTGGTGCGTAAAGGCTGCTTCAAGACTGCTATAGAAAAGTGAGTATTTTGCATAAAATATGAGGTTGAAATAGTGAGACTTGCCGTTCCCGGACGTAATTTTTTCTGTAAAACTGGTCAGGCTCACGCGGCTCTCGGTAGAAAAGATATCGAGTTGTTCAGTCCCCGGCCCAAAATGCTCTGCAAACTCACGCATTGTTTTTGAAGATATCGACCAGCTATTACAAGCCGCATCTCTTGAGAACAGCGCATGCAGAGGCGGAACAGCTTCGAAATTCAGCCGGTAAATCTTTAACACTCCTAAATTTTGGTACTGTCGTCAGCAAGAATACATTCCACCACCGTGATTCATTCATTTACCATGCCTGCATAAAATTCTCACAATGAAACGACTTTTTGTTGCCCCGTCTCCATCCTCAATTGATACGTCACACTTTTCAATGGCAGTGTCTTTTTCCTTGGAAGCATCGCCCCCAATACGACCCTTAAAAACAGCTAACAAGGCCTATCAAATAATCAACTAACAATCCTGATGGCGTACAAAGCCACAGACATACTTTGTTGTAAATCTTGCAGCTAAACTTTTCTTGTGTTTGGCGACCACTACGCACTGGCGTATATTGATACTTGGAGAAGAATTTATTTCCCACCAAGGTGAAGGAAGCATAAGCCGACTTTGTAGAGTTGAGTGTGGTCAAAATGAGCTGTAAAGACTTTAGCAATCTAATTATACGATAATGGGATATTTGAATTCACCCTGCTTTGAGTAGCTTCGATAGATACGGTTTCACTGAATTTTCCAAGACACACGAGTGCATCATGCAATCTCCCCAGAGCTTCCGGAGTGAGTGTGAAAGTCAGAACCGCCATGGCGAATTCGAACATCAACCAAATCCTGTGGATGCAATAGATAGATAGATAGCCTTTCAAAGCTGTGAAAAAAACCAAACACTGATCTTCATAACAAAAATGTTTTAAGACTCATCGACATAAGATCACGAAGAGAGTAAAACAATGATCTCTTGGTGATATGTGATATCTACCTAGGTAGGTACTAAGGAAGTGTTAGTTGATTTAGAGTTGAGTTAGAAAGCCAACATCACGTGCCTCTGTCGCGTCCCTACCTCAGTGACGCGATTTGCCCCGCGATTTCTACTCGACACTCGATCTCAAACATCCACCGGGAAGAGAAGAGAACAAACACCACATCTAATATTGATGGGAAAAGCTTTATTAATTTAACTAACTTTAATTTTATCAATGCTTATAACAGAATATCTATAATATATAATTTCTATTACATGCATACGTACATATAAGTCCTACCTCATTGTTTTTTCTGATCAAATCCACTTGAGAACATCAATAATAATCGAAAGGTGCATCGCCACCTAGATTCTCAGGAGGAATTACCATCCTCCAAGCAACAAAAATACAATGTCTCCGGGGCTCGGGACCGAGACGTGCTCCAAGGATACCATCTCTAGTCCAGCGTATAGGATTATACGTGATGAACAAAAGATGATAAGCTTGCCAGGAGATATACTTCTCCAAATCTGCGAAGAGCTAGGCACTCAACTTGAATTTGGAGTTCTTTTCAATTGTGCCATCGCTGGCAAGCAATTGGTTGGCTCAGCGTTGCAATGGCTATATAGGTAGGAATCTTGCCCGTTAATCCATTTCCCAAATCAAGCCTTTCAATAACCTCTTGTAGATCACACAATGAATACTTAAGGATTATTAGTAGCGAAGGAGAGGCCCCCGAGTGGTCGAAAATACAAAGGCGCAATTCTAAATACAACGCGGTTTCGAAATGGGCGTTGTCATGGCAATCCGTTGTACGCTCAAGTCTAGGGGCTACCGCTTATCCATACTGTCTATATATACGCTCACTCGATTTAACAAATCTTTCAAATCTCCTTGAGGATGGCACCTTCCGAATTTCTGCGATGGATAATTTCTTTGCTGATGAGATGGCAAAGTTCTTAAGTGTAGATGGCGCACCGAGAAGGCGCACCAAGAGAGGACCACAAGTCCGACTCAACACCACAACTATTCTCAATTTAATAGGAGAATCTATAACAAGATACGTTAGCGAACGCGCGGACGAAACCCAGACAACTGTCGCTCTTGAGAATCTTTCCGGCGATATTACATCAGTTGCATTACCAGTATGGGTGGGTCGATTGTCAAGGTTGAAATCTATGACTATTTGGGATGGAAAATCTTTGAACGAGAACGTAGCGGCGGTGATCTTTAATAAATGTCCCAATTTCGACGAAATACGGATATTTGTGTGCTCAGACGATACTGATCATAATCCCGCCTCGTTTATAAAAGGCCTTAGACACAACAGCCTTCTTTCCCTCGAGGTTTTGTCTAATTGTAAGATCGGTCCGTCATTTCTATCTGCCTTGAATCACCATTGTGAATCACTCAAAAGCTTAAAGCTTCAGAGCCTCAATTCGGAAGCCATCAAGAATCTTAACATTCTTCAAAGTTGTACTACACTTGAGACACTTGATCTAGAAGACAGTCAACATACCGTGGATTTGGAAGCTACGGAGAACGACGTATTTCTTGAAACCATCGAATGGCTTGGCCACTGCGAGAAACTCCGAGAATTGGTTTTAAACGGAATTATTTGTGCCCCGGCTATTTTAAAGCAGGTTTGTTTACGAAACAATATTCGACTACAACGATTAGTAGTCACCGGCCCTTCTCTTGTCAATGATACGGATTTTCACAGGGCCATTTCTCACCAGACCGAGCTCGAGGTCCTTGAGCTCCGAGGTGGCTCGGATGAGGTATTTAGAGTCAGGGATGATATTGATAACCTGCTCACATCTATCTGTCAACTCACTAAGCTCAAGGAACTCACCATTGTGGAGTCATTTGAGTATTTTAGTAGTAACGAAATCAGACGTCTCGCCCAAAGCCTACCCCTTCTCGAAAAGTTCCACTTCTCAGGCTATGGCATTGGAGATGAGATCTTACCATACTTATCAAATCTACATAATTTGCGGGATGTGTCTATCGCCGCAATTTCCAGTTTTACCCTCGACGGCCTGCTGACCTATGTCTCGACTTTACGAGATACGAACCAAGGTCTTGTACTCTCGGTTATGAGTCAGAATTCCGACCAAAATCTTGCGCCATTGGAGCAGCAGCTTGTCCGAGAAGGGATCATTGCGAAAGTAGATGGCAAATTTGACTTCGCACTGCTAAGAGAAGTGGCCGAATCTGAGTTTGATTCTGCGTCTGATTAAATGTGATGTAGGATCGATCGGTGAACAAGGGTGCTGGCGGTTGGGATACAATTGGGCTGAATATGATGATACCAAGATGAGGATTATGGAGTTCTGGCTTGGCTACAAAAGGGAAAATATTGGAATCAGTGCTTCTATGAGCCATGATTTATGTGAAAAGGGCGGAAGCTAGGACCATGGTTAGCTAGCACGCGCTCTTTACTGAAGACTTTTTAAATGAATAATACAAACACTCTTAAACCATTTACAGTAATGGTCTCCTCTCCGGTAAATATGAGTAGATCGGACTAATTGAGGTATGGGTGCATTCAAGCATCTATCCGAACTGCTTAGAGAAGTTGATATGAGATGTACTTTTTAATGAAAAAGTGTTGGATGTTCAATACTGTTGGTATATTTAACACCAATAACATTACGTATTAACGACATAACTCTAATTTGATCCCACAATGAGGATTCTCGTCAACCGTAGTAATTTGTGACAACTCATTTCTAACCTTCAATCACTACCTTCGGTATCAATGACAATATATGCCACTCGTTGAACCACGAGCTTGTGTTTGATCCTTGGGCTGGGCCATCTCACGCATAACTTTTCCAACAAACCCCACAATCTCACCACTCACCTCGTTCGGAGCCTCCAACATCATCAGATGTCCCACCCCATCCAAGACTATCAATGTCTTTCTCTTCTCCACTACCCCACTTAGATTGTCCAGTGTTTCTTTCACTCTCTCTAACGTTTCAACCTTATCGTCCCCACCAGCAAGTACCAACGTTGGCACAGTGATCATCCTTGACTCTTCCAATATGTCCTCCTTCATTCCATATTCCGGCCACGCTGGTTTCGCACACTGATTGCAAGTTACCGCATTGGTCACTAGACTACCGACCACATGATCAGGAAGAGGCGTAGTGGACAGGATGTGAGTAACAGTAAAATTAGCAGCTTCAATAGTATCAAAAGCAGTCAATTGCTGCTTTGCCATTTCCTCGGGAAGAACCAAAGACGTAGGAGGAGCGGGCGCAAGAAGTACGAGACCTCGGAGTTTAGGAAAAGACCTTGTAGGAGGAAGCGTTTCAATTGCAAAAGAGAGATGCATAGCAACTTTTCCACCCATTGAATGGCCGATCAGAATGAAAGACTGATCTGGGGGTAGGAGTTGGGGAATAAGAGTAAAAATATCTTTGGAGAGGTCCCGGATATGATACGCATCTGGATCTTGTGTGCCGGTGGAGGATCCCCAGCCTCGGAAATCAATAGCTAAGCAAAAATAGTTGGCGGAGAGAAGTTTCATAAGAGGGGAATAGGTGCTAGAAGAACCACCCCAGAAATGTAGAAAAATTAGGGCTGGTGAGGAGTTGGGTACGCCTGAAGAGAGGACATTGAGTTGAATGAAGGAGTTGATGTCATAAATTTTTGAGCTTGTCATCATGTGAATGTTGAGTCTGTTGGGTGATGAATGTGAAGCAGTAGTTGATCGAGCTATATATGCTTAACTCCCAAGTATATAGTGAGAAGGGAACGGATATAGCAACAAAATATGCGGATGTACACGACCACGATCGATGGTAGCATGGCTCTAGAAAAACATTTAAGAATTCTAGTTGAATCATGATGGCGTAAATCCGAAGAGATATTCTTAATATCAAAGGTCACGCCCCTTTCTTTGATGACTCTTGCGTCGAAGTTTCCTTGCCTTCAAAAATCTCCCCGTCATCCTCGTCATCCTCGTCAAGCTCCTCTTGTTCCTCTACCTTGTCCTCCTCTGCTTTCGCTGCTTTCTCTTCCGCCAGTAGTCGATATTTTCTCTTACTCTTTTTCACTGCACTGCTCTTCTTTTTCCTTTTCGTCTCCCCCACAATCGCAACCCTACTCTCCTTCCCTTTCTCCAATAGCTCAACCCTTTCCGCCAGCATTTGCCGGGCAATTTTGCGATTCTGTGTACGAGAGCGGGTGGCTTGAACTTTGAGAACCATACCTGTTGGAATATGTTTTAACTGGACCGCGGAGGAGGTTTTATTCTGTGAAATGATAAGTTGTGGATTTCAGGTCAAGGTTTCGACTCGATAGCGGGACGACCTACGATTTTCTGACCTCCAGGCCCGCTGCCATGCAAGAATACCTCTGTAAATTCCGCTTCATCTATGGGTGCTGGACGGTCTGGCATCTTCTTCTTCCATAATGTCGTTGTGCTGCAAATGCTGCGTTTGATAATTGAGCTTGAATTAACAACATTAGCACTTCCAAGGCCGACGCCTTTAGGAAGTATTGAAAGTAATCTTTGTAGCATTGTACATCTTGACAATCTACCAATTGCCATGAACCTAATTAACTCTTCGTAATTGTGTTTAGTTGTCACTTCGGTTGGATCATGTTCTACTGAGGTGGTATGTTCGGATTGATGAAAATTGATCGCATTAATTACTACCTACTAGGTAGGTAGATGGCATAATTAATTGGTGGTTATCATACCCCGGGAAATTCGATATTCAGGTACACACTCCGTACCCCTACTCGAGTACTGGTGTACCTCACAAAAAGTTCCGCCTCCGCCATTTCCATTTCGTCCTCCTCTTCTTCTCAATCCTCAATTCATCAACCCTCAATTTTCTCTCATGTTCAATTTCACATTGCAGCTTTCTCGTGTATAGTCTACTTGATCCCTTTGAATTACCAAGACTTGGAACTTGCTGCTATTCTCCTGTTGAACACGATCGAAGAAGCACCCGTTAATACTACGAGAAGAGAGTTCTCTACGAATCAGGATCACAGGAAACGAGAAGGGGCAACAATGTCTATGTTTGCATCTACATTTCGATGGCTGCAGAGGAAGAGATATCAATATGAGGTATGTGCGCTCCTCCAATTCATGCAAGATATATTCTGATACACTTGAGCAGGTCACATTCTCATTGTATATGTTGACACCCACGGAGAAATTCATATTCAGTATGTCTTTTAATGTTCTAAGCTGGCAAACCTCCTGATCATTTCGATTGATTGCACTCATTTTCTCCTTCCCAGAGGAATCCACTTTAAAAGGCACGCGTGGCTAATATCTTGTTCTGCAGATTCGTTCCTTTTCCTCTTCTTTAGCATGATCATCATTGCTATGACACTTTACCTCCCACAACACATCACATTCCTTACCAACCGTGCCTGGTTTTACTATAACGGAGACGAATCGGCCAAGTCTGCTCTGACATCTGCGAGTCCTATACTAGATGCAGTGGTCAAGGAAACAGTTGGGATGACTACTATGGCTGGAGCCGGGAAGGAATTATGATTAACACTTTTGTACGGATACCTATAGCCGAGCATGGGGATGATGTGTGTGGATGCCACGATTGCATGTTAGGAAAGAAGGAACGGCACGGTGATGACTGGGTACATATGATTTTCGAAGAGGAGTTACTGATTACTACAACGGGATAGAGCAGATGAATATACACCCAGCATTGTTATAATACTTAATCATAAGACGAGCATGGAATTTGAATAGGCACTTTAGTTTGGGAATAATTTTTAGACGTCTTGATACGGGCAGCCTGTGAGGGACTTGTTGTGATAAAGTGCACTGTGTTAATGTTGGTCATATCTGTAAACTATACAGCATGTTCTCTTGCAGCCATGAGATGCTTCATAGTGTTATACATTAATTCTCCAGCCCCAGGAAGACCTTTGCCTTCCAAATATTTTAAAACACCCAGTCGATAGTCCTGCCATGATATGGACAATCCGCCGTCATTTCCAAGTTTCTTTAATGATACTTGTGTTACTGGCCCAGCGTGTCTGACGTTGATTTCATCCTCAGCCTGATCTTCTAACTCCCTCATGTATGTGATGGCGTGCCGGCATATCGCTGGTGAGCACGAAATACTGAATAGAGAACTCAGTGAAAGGGATGTCTCCAGCTTGGAAATGTAAGAACTTAATGTCCCCATTGTCTGCTCTGGGAGTAAACAACCTAGTGCGTTCACATCTATTGTATAGAAGGCCCGTGATCTCCATAAACAATTGCAGATATCCATCAGGAAACCATTGAAGCGATTGACATATTCTTTGGGATAAGATTGATTGGCTGGTGCAGCCGGGTTTGTGCGGGGAGCCATAGCCATTTCGAAAGCTTTCTTGTAGAGGGCGAGGATGTTGCAAGTGCGGGCGATTACCGATAAGTTAGAGCTGAAGTAAAGAGTATAAACGACTTGAGGTGGGGGAATAGTTATCCGAACTGTTGGTGTTAGAGTGAGATGAGATATTAAGAATGCATTCGCTTCGTAGAAATCAAGGATAGTTGCGTGAGTGACAACGCTCGAAGATTGTTGTAGTATTGCAACAGCTAGCTCATTGATGTGGTGTACGAGTGCGACTACGTCTGTGCCGTAGTTTGACGGGCTTGGAGCTTGTGAGATTAGGCTGAGAGTCCACTGGCTGAGCACAGCTTTATAAAATTTGAGGAGAGCAAGCTGTGACTCATGAGTGCCATCTACAACTGCATCTTCAACTAAGTAAAAGATTGTTTTGTGAAGGTCTAATGCTTAGTTAGCCCTGAATTTTGATTATGACGGGAGGTATACCATCGAAAGAACCAATACGAATATAAGCCAACAGCTCTAAGATCACATCACGGTTTGTAAAACCGTCCCAGCAAGGCAGTAACGATTTCAAATAGGAAAGGCATGCCGAAGGTAGTATCTACAATTGTTAGTAGAGCTAGTAAACATTGTTGTATATTGGCCGACCTTGGTAAACCTAGTATACTGCAGAATAACTTCCAGCATATCTGGTATCAGCCTCCCAGAGGACTGATCATTTTCAAGCTGATCCTCGAAAAAGGCCAGAAGCCAATAATTTATTCGTCGTAGAGTAGCCTTAGAAGACCTGAGATACAGCAACTTTTGGAGCAAAGGATCATGAATACCAGCCACCAGTTGATTTGGTAGCTCGATCTTCTCAAGCTTCTGGACAAACTCGTCCACATCCTCGACCTCTTCTAGTGTAATTGAAGTCTTTCAGTTGGTCAGAAATGATGATGAGATTAGGAACGAGCACTTACATCCTGTGCATACAACGTATTTACTTCGGGTAAGAATCCATGCTTCCTGTCTCTGACAGTCTTTCGTGGCACGCGGAAGTTTCGATGGGTAGAGACAAGCTCCTCTTCCATCCTCCTAAGATGGTCTTCTTGTATCTCGCCGAGCCTTTCTCGCCATTCACGATTTGGATGCTGGTGATATCAATACATGATTTTCAAGCAAATACTTAGTGGAAATTTACCGCGAATACAGAGGCCCTTCCGGAAGTCACGTCACCTACGATTACCTCCGGATAGTAATCTTTGTATACCCTCATAAGGCCTACCAGAGCCGGATCGTGGCCCGCCTTCCGTGTCCATTGCATTCTTAAGAGAAGTTAGCAAGCTGGTTAAATTAACTTGCCTCAACATACAATGCTTGTATCCTAAATGGCCGAACGTGTTTTCGGCGGGTGATGATGGACAGCACGTGACACAACTGTGACCTGCGTGAACGTGAGATGAGACGCCGACACGTGTGAAGTATAGAAAATACCTGAGAGCGATGGTGTCGAGTAAGTTGAATAGTACAGCATAGAGCTGTGACAAAATCTTTTGATTCTCCAGAACATCGTAGACCAGGACTATCCATTTTAACAACGCCGCCTGAGCTGCATAGGAAGGTCTGTCTTTTCCATGACCCAGGCTCCCTACTACTTTGATGACTATTGAATCTGAAACCTTGCTGGTTGGATAAAGATACTTGATTAAATTGCCAATGCTCACTTGATCAAGCTCGTTGGGAAGAGTGATGATATCCATTAGCTTTTCCAACGACGCGTTAGATAACCCCTCTCCATATGCTCTCGAGCACAGTCTATCAACGTGACTTGAAATCTTCACAGATCGTTGCTTTGAAGGAATACGTGAAGCTGTACCAATTGTCAGTATCTCTCCGTTCGCCATCAGAATGTTGTGGTAGGGCTTGTCTTGTTGTGGTCGCGAGAGTCGCGCGTAGATTTCCTTACCATTCTCTAAATCATCAAGAATATCATCGATGTTCTGTTCTTCTTTTAGATGACTCTCCATAGTTAATGAATAATTGATTTGATCTCTTCTTGTTATCGATCTGATTGCTTTGTGGAATTGTGATGTAGCATTCAAAAGTATACATGTTGCGTATTTTTGATGTTCTGGATTCTTGACTAGGAGAAGAAATCAAAAGACCGAGATGATATTACCCGGCCTATCTAGGTATTTCTTCTTGGACAGCTGTGCCATTGAAATAGTATCTACATAATTCGCGGTTCTGTGTTCTATTTATACTTTGATTTAGTTGAGAAGGTTGGAAAGGAAACTAAAGACAGAATAATATTTTTAATACTTTTCTTCAATCATATATAAAAGCCAATGTATATCTACATATAAAGAGAGAGTTTTTTATATTATATGAAATATCTAATTTATTTAGTTAAAGAAGGAATTTTGATAAAAGAAAAGCAGTAAAATTTAACCTAGATAAATACATAGTACTTTTATATGTATCTATATATGTATATATGTATATTCTACTTAAGAAATAAACACAGATATTAAAACTCTATCCGGTCTAGTCAGTTCACTTTGAAATGAACAATATATTGATATTTTCAAATCATTTTGAAGAATAAATTGGGTCCAAATAGAGAGACCAACTAGTATATATAAAACTCCCTCCTCAGCCTTTTTGTGTTACCAAGAATGTGCGCGAAGACCGAAGACAGCTGATCCCTGACGACTCCTTTCGCGTTTACACACTGTGACCGCCCCAACCTCAAAATTATCCCTGATCACAATCTACCCTTCTCCTCCGCCCTCCCTTTGAATATCGAAAAGATTCAACATATCTGATAGCTTAAGATACCTTCTATCCTATCTCAATACCATCGACATTGGTAATTAGATCGGACCGCAAAGCCTGCATGTCTAGGCACATCTTATCCAAATCTAGCCATGACCACAATGCATGCGGCGTCCTTTGATTCTGGGTGGGACTTCTTCGCCATATGATCTCTAGGCTTCAAGCTTCCATTATACACTCACTGTTGTTAATATATTGCATCGCTTGTGAAGTCATTTCTCTTTGCCGCCCAACCACACCATGTACTCAGGATGATTTAGTGTCGGTCTGGTTAAAAGAGCCATTTTCCATCGTCATGTAAGGGAATGGCACTGGCCGGTGCCACGCACGGCAAGTGTGCCAGTAAATGGGTGTGTTCTATGGCAAGACAGTCAATTGGAAATCTGCAACTCGGCCCTGGCCCAGGGTATTGATGGCAAGCATGTGTTGGTGCTCTACAGATTCTGTCCTTCGGAATTCCCGCGAGAAGCAGACAGGCAAATCAAGACCAGGCAAGCCTTCTTCGGTGCACATGCATTGCCGAATTTTTCTTGTGAGTAGATGATTCCAAGGTTTCGACCTGCTGTGCTGATACTGTTGCCTTAGACCTCGTTGTGTCATTTTTGGGGGGAGAGAAACTATTACACAGCATCCTGCTAGATGTCTGGAACAGAACATGTGACGTATAGACTACAGATCTATACATAAACCCCGAAAAACCTTTAACTTGTTGGGCTTGGCTTCGTTTCTGCTTACGGGCCATGGAACGACTCTAGAAAATTTGGCCAATCGTCTGTTTAAACGAGAATAAGCAGTCGAATGTTCAGATCCTATTGTTAGGCCATCGTGCTCATGCCCTAGTTGGGATATTGGAACGTAAATATCAAATGCCTGTACGAAATCGGCCGACTTCCCTGGACTTTGTTCATCCTACTCGAGTACTGAGCATGCATGATGCAGGCACAAGCCAGCTCGTCACGCACTAGGTATACCCTAAGGCCACGATGCTGAAGCTTCATGCCTCTGGAATCTAAGACGGAAGATAAGTCAATATTCTGGGGCATTTCAATCTTTGGGGGAATATATCCCGAAATACAGGAGAAGGAATTTTGCAATTCCTCGATAGATTTGGATTGTTGGAGCATTTAAAGTATATTCGGATGATCTTACATATATACTCGCTCTACCACAGCGGTTTTGGCACATCACGCTAAACCCTGTGGTGCCCCTGTGGTGCGGCTATTGTCTCCTTGGGCGAAACAAATTGGTAAACCTTGTTATTAGTTCTTCCAAGCTTTCCATGGTATTAACACTACCACGGGATGATACCACATCGGGAACAAAAAAGGTCTCATTTTGGCGCTCCAATGAACCACTCTATCATGGTACGGTTTTACACTTCAGCCCAGTCTGTCGATGATCAATTACAAAAGCACCCGCATCTGGGTTTGTGCGCGTCGGCGTCGGCCCTTGCAACGTGTGGGTGCACGAATTTGTCTTTGTCCTATGACATTCGTTTCTACCCTCGATCGACTATGGCCCTTCTCACCGGGGTATAAAATCCACACGCTTTTTTGCACTGGCGGCAATCTAATTCGGCCGGAGTAAAAGAGAACAGTGTTACTGTGTTACAGTTGAATTTGTGTAAAAGTGGAAAACGTCGTATCATGCCTGATCTCCAAACTCAGTAAACAATATTTTAACTCTCATTATATTACCACCTGTACAAGGAACGTAATTAGGCGAAAATTGGGGATGTCATCAAGCAAGCCATAGAAACGCTGCGCAACCATGCTGCCGGTACACTCCTTCTGGTACACCCTTTCTCACAATCTCTTCTCTAGTCTTTGACCTTACAACTTGGTAACTTGAGGTAGCTTTGAAATGCAAAAGAAAGGCCAAAATGTTGATTCAAACCAGGTCTCAGCTATGTCATCGTTCCATGCGGCGCCAGGAAACAATAACGATCTAATGTATGCACCCTCACTTATGGTCACAAGATATTTACAATCGGCGCTCTGACTGTACTTAGGGATGTAGGTGAAGAGTCTATTTTTACGTCATTACAAATATCAGAAGATCGGCCAGTTGAAGGAAATATCTCAGCTACAATATTGAGAGACTCGGCGAATTTCTTGACGAGAATCCGATCCCTCGATGAATCAGACGTCCTTGTACTTCTTACCCCAATTGTAGTACCAGTCAGTCGAGACGTCACGGACACTAGTGATCCATTTGAATGTTTAGGACGGGCTCTAGCCAGGAGACATGCCAAAGTCCGGCATATTCCTTACACAAAAAGGCAAGTGGAATATCACACTTGGCAAGGCTGAGACTAATCAACGTAGATATGGCATTACCTCTACTCATCTGGGGTTTATAAAAAGAAGTCATGTTATCATACTTTGCTTCGTCAAACAACCGCAACACCGGCTGCAGCTCGAAAACGCCGAAGTCCTCTTTGCAGTCAGCGACCACAAGCCTTGGTACGCCTAATCCATCATTTTGTCACATTCCTTGCTGTCCAATTTCATCTGAAAGTCTACTTCTGGATGTTTTCTATCTTCTATATTCTTTTAATTGTTCATCCTCCCCTTTACCCTCCCCTTACCCCCCCCTTTCCCCCTCCCCCCGAAAAAGTCTTTCTTCATAGGCATTTACTAATATTTGGACCGGTCGTAGTATCATCATGGTATGTGGTGATCAGACAAATTTGCAAGATCCAATTCCCTTCCCCACAGTCATTCTAACCTCCGGCTACACCGCGAGAGAAATGGAGGATGCAGCTGCATTGATCTTTGGAGAGCGCGAATCCAACCCTAGGCTAGGACTAGCTAGTTCAACATCCAGCGAGACGGTGCCAATACGGCCTAGGCTTTGGGCTGTTGACGAATGGAACGAAACCAGAGATGTATCGAGTGTTCTCAATCTGTGGACTGATAATTTTGATGTCCGGTTCTCCTTAGACCTTGAGTCTTTCGTATCTCTCCTTCGCCGCCCAGGTTACGCAAAGCATTATGTAGTTCGTCACCCTAAAGATGGCGAAGTCCTTGGTTTCTGTGCTACATACCTTTCATACGTTGATCGAGTAGGTGAGAGGCTTATTGCATCTCTAGCAGTTCTTGTAGTTGGAAAGACATGTCGACAGCAAGGTATTGGTCTCAGTCTTCATAATCATGCTATTAAACAACTTGGACAATCGCGAGGGATTATCCGTTTTGAGCTTGGCAGCACATTTCCGAGACTCTTGTATGGGCCACCTCTTTCTTCTTCCCGAGCATTGACTGTGAACGACGAGTGGTTTCGCCGAAGAGGCTGGACGCTAAACAGGGAATTACAGGGCCAGGGCCAATCTGTGTATGACTTGATTCTTGACTTTACAAAATGGAATTTTCGGCAGAGTCAACAGCAAGAAGGGTTCACTTTTCGACAGAGTGTACAAGAGGATATGGTCAAGATCCTTCTCTTGGTAGAGGAAGCATCCATCAAACAAGGCAACCTGGGATGGTTCGATCAATACTCTGATCTGATGAACGGGCCCTACGTAAAAGATATCATATTATGTCTGGAGGGAGATCAAATCATTGCAACAGCGCTCACATACACTCCATCCTGTGGCAGTTCAATATCTTCTAATTTACCCTGGGCAGGACGGATCGGCCATGATGTTGGCGGAGTTACATGCATATGTGTTTCCCGTAAGTGGTCTGAACTGCTTCACTATGGCAATTCTCTTGATACTAATTTGGGTTTAAAGCACAAAGAAAAGAGTCAATACGCCTTGAACTACTAAATGCATGTATTAAAAAACTATACCAGCAAGGTATGAGGAGAATGTTCTTTGATGGTGTGGCAAATGATGTGGACGAATTAAAAGAACTCGGTGAGTCTCACTTTGATCTATGTAATTGAAGACGGAACTGATCTTTCAGGTTTTGAGGAATGGGCAAAGTACCGCGATGTTTGGAAGGACACGGCATATATACAACCTGGCTTTAAAGAGCATTTGTACATTCTAAAGGCTCCACAAAGCATGCTACGAAGACTCTCCTCCGCAATGATGATCCTCCGAATAACATGATACAGTTGAAGGGTTGACAAATTATCACAACAGCGATAACAAGAATAGCAAATGAAGCCCCATATTTTTAGTACGCATGGCCTTGAACATCATATATCCGAATCATTGGGCATGAATGATAATAGCATGGACCTGCATTTGGAGCGTCTCATACTGCAAGGTGATAGACAAGGGCCTGGATAAGCTATTAAATCCTTAGTTTTGTGATCAAAGCGAAATCATTACTTCAGCTACATTCATACATATTACGGTGGAACCGAAGGGCACCGCTATGGATATTCGAGGGACAAAATATTCCGACCCGCAAACAATCCCTCCGCGCTTGAAATTCTGGCATCAATTTGGATTGGTAGGTTCGCAATTCAAAGTCGTCCCGGCACTTGTTGTGATGCTTTTAAAGTTGTAGCATCGGCCGGAATCGCCCCATGAAATACCGGACGAAAATTACAGGTCACGTAGCCCTAGTTGCCTGCGATCTTTCAATCTAAAGCCAAGACTATATGAGCGGGGTTATTCAAGCGTCGTACAAGAATTTGGCGGCCAAGAATAGAGTTTAACACCTTCAGAACACCACATCCGCATGAGACCCCCACTAAAGGAAGTGCTGTTGCATCTCAAAGGAAAAAAGTTCCATGCAATAGCCACGTTCGTCAGGCATGGATGTACAGAAATATGCCACTGTTATACTAGTTGCTGCCTGATGGCTACAAATATATCTAAACAAAGAGCCTTCTAGATTTGGACAGATGCATGAATTGCGGCGTGGATTTTCTTGACCGACATTCTCACATGTGGCGCACCTTTTGGGCACATGTGATGATTCGCTATGCCAGCCAACCTTGGTGTATGATTGCATGCCCGGCAACACGAATAGACATTCCGGCTCGTCATATGCAATGCTTTCCTGAGACCCATGTACAATACTTTGCGCCGAAGAACGTTGATTCAGGTCTTTAGCACCCGATCTCGCTAACGCCTATTTGATACTTTATGTGAATATTTATATGCATCATCTCATGCACGGAACCCCTTTTCAAGATGGAATTTTAGTTTAGTAGATCACGTCTCGAGAAAAATTCTTCGCGTCAGCTTTCACAGACGACCACTCATGATGTTTTCTTGGTGGGGCTGCATGTTTAGTTTGGCCCCCTCGCGGGCTTCCACTGGCGCCCCCACGTCAACTCGGCAACGCTACTACACGATAAGCGTGTTTGTAATTCGGATTTTGGTCCATTCCAGAATTCAAACTGAGTGGGTGACTGATTCATCCAGTAAGCCCAAGTCTAAGTCCTGACGCATGGGAGACCTCGAGAAGATCTTAAAGTCGTTGATGGATCTTCAACGTGAACCTCTCAATACATGTTGTCTTTCTATCCTCGAAGTAACCCACAAAAATTCCAAACTAACTTCACAATAGCCAGTGGCGAGGTATAAATATCATCCTTTCAGTAGCTTCGAATACATATTTAGGTATTCTGGGCGTTGGATCACCAGAAGCGAGAAGTAGAGCAGGAACATTATGCCATCTAGGTAAAGATGCAGAATTGTCACCCGCTCTCTTCATCTTCGGAGAATTGTCCTTTCAAGAATAACACTTGGTATTAGCGGCAAATCCGCATTATTAGCTTCAATCTAGCCAACTTACGTCCTCCTTAAAGTTCTCGCTTGTTTAGCTCCCGTGTCATGGTACGGACCGTTAGTCTGTGCATGCGGAAATAGTTTCTGCCCGTGTATTAGATAGAACACGGACCACTCTACCTTCATCAATATCCTGTTACCCTTCATCTCTTTCTAGGTATGTCAATTTGTGCTTTCCATTTTGAGTTGGGTACACTTCTATGAATTCGGGACCTCCCCTGCCATCCTATCTATGCTTATACTCGACGACAATCATACCGCATCTACCCTAACCATTCTATCGGGTTTTCTCTTCTCACCTGATACCACTCCCGAGGCTCAGATCCACATTTTCAGTAATATGCCATGTTACCGTGAAGGTTCCACTCATGCCCAGCCGAGACCTTCTTCAAACTCCGTATTAGCTAACCACAATTCTCACAATACTCCGCTTGGTCTCTACGTGGCCCCATAGGCTAAGGCATTCCCATATGTGTTCTCCTTCAAGCGCAATTGCCGCTCCATCTTTGAAGTACACTTACTCATGTTAATGATCTCTTGAATGGCTTTTGAGAAGAAGCATGTTATCTCTTCCAAATGGCAATATCCAATCTCAAGCTGGAGGCCACGGGCGGCTAGGATTACTGCTTTTCCAGGAAGAACATATTCCTATATTTTACAAATAATCATCAAATTTCCTTTTGGGTAAATGATTGATTAGATATCAAGAGGGAGGCCTGCAATGACCGCGGCTTTCCAGGCGTAGCTCGTCTGCAGATGAGTTTGCCATGGTCCGGACTGCACTACATAATAAAATTGCAGGGCTGAACTCTGAGGTACAACTCAAATCTTTCAACGGTTCCAATTATTTGTTTGTTTTTTTTGTTCTGTGCAATCTCCATGTTTCAGACAGTACGTTGAAAAATACGTCAGATGTCTCATTAAACAGGAACAGAAATCCATCGTCGTCAAACTGGCATCAGGACTACTAGAATCTTTCTCCAACTTCGTTAAACGTACATTCTCTATCTTCCGCGGCTTCTCCATCAAAGGATACTCCGTTGATGGGGAGCAGCAAATGCAATGCTACATATCCAACTGTCACCACACATCAAATGTGAAATTGTCAAAGTCATTCGGGATGTTGAAAATTTCGTTAGCAAGTTGACATGATGGTATGAGATAAATCTACATATTAATCTATCATATTCCTAGTACTGCGGGCAAGGCCAAGGGGAAACGCATATTATAACACGTATTGGGACATGAATGCAGCTCATGAATCGTTCCCCGCCAACCTGGATGCGTAAATGGAATATGATGTGCGCTTGACGAATTGGATAGCTGTGATGAAGCTTACACGGCGGAATCCACCTGTTCCCACTATTTCACAACTCTCTCAACATCGTCTATTCCATGTGTATGTATCATGGCATATTTGTGCAACTGCGAATGACGCAATTGTCCCGTATCCTCGAATACCACAAATTCAATTCTCGGTCCAGCCATTAACATGCGAAAAATGTCCGATTGATACAATCGAGGATACCAGGTTGCTATGTATGATTCTATTCGACAGGGAACTAGGGTCCCAACAGTCATAAGAAATTCCTCGAATAGATGTGTGCTGAGGCAAATATTGCAGCTCAAGGCGAGAAATCCCCGTCTCAACATGATCACTCGCGTATTGCTGATCTCAGGACCGATATGTCGATGAGGTATGGACCGAGAGGATACCGATGGCGTAAATATGCCAGACGGACACCTTTGGGTACCGACAGTGTTTGATATGAGTTTATATGTCTTGAGCATTCTTTCTGTAAACCATTCTCTCTACAATATTTGGGAATGAACAAGACCTGAAACTTTCCAATCCGGTTCACTCCAAATGCTCCACGCTAGACCGAGTTGTTCAAATGATACCGCAGATAAATTAGACGTTTCGTTGCGTCTCGTACACATATCGAACATCACAAAATGGTTCGGATCTTCATACGACTTTTGAGCATCGAATACTTCCATCCTCGCCATTTATTTAGTTTCTGACGATGGTTTTAACAGTTTGAAGCCCGATCTTGAAATTTTGCTTCTTTCCATTTTGTTATCAAAACCGGGGGGAGCTTCTCTGTCAAAGCTGCTCTGTATATCATCCACCTACATCGATGTCCTCGATTCATATTTCTGAATGCAATACCTTCGCTAGTCCTCCAATGATCGCTGGGACTTCAAGGGGGAAGAATAGTTGAACTCTATAGCACATAAGAGGGATTTCACGTATCTTACGGATATTCGGTAACCGCTAGTCTTATCAAAGCATTTCCACGAGTATGCAACAGATGCCTCGAAACTCCATGGGCAGTATTGAGGAATGAAATAGGCAATTGCTCCTCTGCAGCCATTCCCCACGAGCTGTTGCTGGAATATCAACATCTCGCGCCTTGAATGCTTAGATTAACATGCGCAGCCATGTATCTGCCCAAATTGAACAATTGATGCAACCCAAAATACCAATGCTCGATTTCCAAACTAGCCTCTCTATCGAAATCACGTCTTGAACATTCCGACCATTTTCTGAAGAAGGCTAGTTAGACTTTCCAATAATTAGGCTACGATTCAAAAATAAAAGATTAGGATCTTTTCGGGGAATTGTGATATGAATTAATTTCTAACAATAAATTATGTGCAAACATTCACAGCCTTTAAGAATTATAAACTGCTATATCTGGTCTGCTAGTTTGAAATATTGGAAATCCCGATATCCATACATCGAATTTCAGCAAAGATCCCGGCTGAGCACAAGGAGATGCCTTCAGATCCCTGCCCAGCCATCATCTAACCTCAAGTCAAAGTACAATCTTTCTACTCCCTTTCCTCTACTTTTACAGGAAAACGGACATTCCATGCAACTAGTTCAACCATTAACCGCTTCTTTCTCACCGTCAATCTTGTCATTATGTCACCATGCCACTATGTCACCACCATATTCACTCCGGTATATCATCCCACCTCACATACAGAATCCAATCCCCTCTCAAAAACTCGCAAACCCGCAGTTACCTTCACTTTATCCACCTAGCCAAAAATTCAAACCCTAACACTGCGATTGACTGATTCCTAAACCTAAACCTGAAAACCACTTTCAACACAAGTCCAGACACACCACTCAACATCCGCACATACAACCCCGTACCGCGTACCCTCTACATCCTCTACGACGTGCTCCAGTACACAGCTCAAACTACACCACCTCATTGAGTTTACAATCTCTTACTTCTGGCATTAATTAAACCTTATACCATTACACATGCCGCACACAAAGGAAAAAAAGTAGCAACGTGTATGATTTTCTATCTTCGCTTCGGGCATGCAAGGAGAAGAGAAAGAAGGAAAGCGGAAGAAAAGGTGCATGGAATACAGGTAAAATATACAGGCAATACTTCGTTATCAATATCTCTGGACCGCAGTCTAACAATGAAAGGGTTTTAACATGAGTGTTTTGAGCGTGTATAGTCCGAACTAGCAGAACAAATGTGAAAGTTGTCAATCTCGCGTGGCTCAATCTTCTAGAGATGTGTTAATGAAATGGTAGTTGGAGAAATAGTTGGGATGTTTCAGGAAGGGAAGAGATGACGCGTGATGGGTGATGGATGAGGAGTAGGTAGTAGTGTATGATAACTGGATCTGGTGTAGGGGAGATTGAAAAAGAAAAGGTATAGTAAGCCGGTGATAGTGAAGGGAGATAGCAACTTGATGGATCGAAAGGGCGAGTCACGTATGATCTGAGATTGCGACATGTAGCATGGGCAAAGAGATAATAGTATACAGGAAGAAAGGAAATGTAAAAGCAAGAGTTTTTTCGCCCACGAAATTGATATTTGCATTCGATTTCTGTAATCATCATGCACTCTCACCAGTAACTTCAACCATCGCCTCTACCTCCCGAAAACTCGTAATGAGTACTTGTCTGTTCTTCTCCTCTACACTGACATCTGCATTCCCTTCCCTTACAACCACAAAACTCTTCATTCCAGATTCTTTTGCAGCTCTGACCTCTTTAACATTATCACTCAAAAACAACCATTCACCTACCTCTCCCAGGGCTCTGTTTGCCTTGGCAATTTTCTCATAGCTCGTGCTCTCCTGTTTTAACCCTGCATTAACCGTATCCCAATACCCACCTTCGATCTCCTCAGCCCCATCGACTCCATTCCAGATGCAACCTCTCAAATCCCCCTCGGCCGTGTACCTCCACAACAATTTTTGCGCGGCCACACTCCCGCTACTATAAATACAAATCTTGGCTCCGTTTTCTTTCCATTTCTTCATCGCCGGGTACACATCTGGGAAAAGTGGACATTTCAGTGTCCCTGATTCGTAACCGCGGAGCCAGAGATATCCCTGGAGAGATTTAAGGTATGGGATTTTGAGGTCCTGAGCCATGAGGTCGCGAACATGAGAGAGGAGTGCCTCAGGGGTAGAGCTGTGTTCGGGTGGAAAGGCGGAGCGATAGGGAAGGAAGGATGAGGAGTCCCATTCAGTGGATAGAGTTTCTGGGAGTGCTGCGAGAGCGTATGGGAACTGCTGGCGTGGTTAGTTGTCGGGTTACGGTTTTACATTGATGACAAGTAATAGCTTGAGAGGGTCGTGGCAGATGCACTAATCTGACATAACCATTGATACATAGAGATACATGTTTCAGATGTATCGGTTACTGACATGCTCATTGCGGGGTAAAGCCAGTGGCGTGTATATGGTGGGGCTTTGAAATCAATGGGGTTGAGGTGCTTGCTTCGGAACAAGACAAAATGAAACAGAACGCTGACGCTATGGAGTGAGATTTTCGATGGGATATGGTGCAACCAAGCCATCAAACATAGATAGGCACTTATGGGGCGCTCTTCCCCGCAAATGACATGGACGCTGATCCGTCCGTGCAGTAGATTGACCATGCGCAGTAGTTGAGAACGTGGCATGCGACCATTTGCAATGAAGAATCAATCCAATCTCTGCTTGACTTGGAGATATCATCACACTTGCTATCCAATTATCATATCTATTCTTTCTTTTCCCATCGTCATCCCTCGACTTGAGGATGTGGAGAAAATAGGGACACTCCGTCGTCGTTGTCGTCCCAACCAATGACAGCGGGGTAGAAGCATTGGAATTTGGAAAAAGAGATAAACGGCTGGTAACACGACAGCACATCACAGCTCCCACTTGACTATGCGCAAATCAAGATTCCTGCCCCCAAGATATCTGCATGCTGTTGCTTACGAATTACAACAGTTCTCTGCAGTTGTGTAAAGATGTAAAAGGCACAAATCATCGAGACAGTGGCCAATCATCACAATTGGCACCGTTGAACGTGGCTGGTAACTACACCAACACGGTAACAGTCATTGCAAGAAGAGATAGGAAAAAGAAGATGCGACCCATGACTTCTTGCATGGGATACAGAAGAAATTGACCAGTAGAAAGAAAGAAGTAGGAGATATTCTGTTTACCTACCAACACATCCTTGACGAATGAAATGGGACACACCGTGCCCTCTGTAGAAGAAAAAAAGAAAAAGTATCAGCATTCCATCACAAACCCCAATTCTCTAACATTACACACGTGATCTATCTTAATCCGAAGATCCCATTCCGGCGAAAATTCTTGCAGACGGGATGATGTTGGAAGAAGCAGGAACAGGAACAGAACAGGAGCCGTAAATGCCCGAGAAAAAAAGTTTTCATCACTCACCGATATCCAATAATACCACCTTCACTCGTGGTTTTGCCTCCATTTCTTCGTCAATACGGGGAAATCCTTCTAGATTTATTTTCTTGTTTGTTTCTTTCTCCCTCCCTCGATAACAGTATCAATACCTCAATGCCGAGATCGAAGAAAGATAGCGGTGAACTTCGAGCTTCGAGCTTCGAACTTCGCGAGCTTCTTGCGTAATCTTTGGATGTATGGTAAGGATTTAGGCAATGCGTCGATGCACGCTGGCAGTGATCACCCCCTAGACTACTCCGTGCGAAATATCCACAGGGAATGGCACCGTTCCGATCTTTTACTCCTGTGGTAGCGTCGATATTTGATGTAAGAATCTATTTAATTCGTCAAATATACTGGTTGGGGTAGTATTTTGATTTCTCGCCAATCCTGCGTAGTATCCTCAGGCCAGAGCTTAGTTCGGTAATTCGTATGGATTATCGATGAATTCAGGCTGTTCATGCTTCATGCTTCATGCAGTGAAAAGTAAGCAGGGGGCTCGCAAACACCACAGAGATGTTTGGATACATGTAGGTACGCGGAACGTGTTCTGTGTTCTGTTGATAATGTTCCGAATTTGGCGGCGAGCATCCATTCTGGCCAAGTGAGTTAAGTGAGAAACGGAAACTTATCAAATCATGATGGCGGTGAAGATATAAATCACAAACGGGTTTTCCCTTTGGGGTTTTCCCCGTGGGAATGGTCAGACTCAGAGACAACGACCTGCTTGGATTTGATCACATTTTGCCTTTTGTTTGAAAGGAGATACACCCCCACTTACCAAATACGAAAAGAGGATGCGAATAAGACCCTTTACTGCTCCACGGAGTGCTTGAGACAAGTCCCCAACATTATTCAAATTCACCATACTCTGTGGAGCAAGTTTCAGAGCATTTGAGCATTTCTAACCGCGGGTCCACTCAAAAGGGAAATCATTCGTCTCTACTCAGGGACTCACTCTCATGTTGGAGACATGTACATATCCTTAGTTTCCCGTGATGCATATGCAGGCTATCTACCTAAGAATGTACATATGTACGAGGCGTGTGAGGATATAGATTGACATCCAGACCCATTTTAGATCTTCGCTGTGTCGATAAAAGCTATGATGAGTTTCAAAGAGGTAGATAGCGATAGCTAGCATCATCTGATGACGATAGTTTTGTCATTGGATAGGTAAACAAACATCTGTGATGGAATAGATAGGTTTCGTTGGGCCGATTACTCTGAGAACGGGATTTGCATCAAGTAATATCGATAGGATGGTGAAGTTTTGGTATAAAACCTTTCAGTGATAGTTTTTTGGTCTAGGAAAAGATGGAGAGAGATAGGCAGGTAGGTAGGTACACCAGTAGCATAGATTATGCTACGAAAAATAGGTGTCTACTGGTCTCTGAAGCTTTCCATATACATTTCTCCTCCTATCCAACTTACATCTCCAACCCAAAAGGTCTTCCTTGAGAGAATCTTCATACGAGAGTCCTTCACCGCTGCTTTGTCCTTATACAGAAGGATTGAAGCCATCGTGATGATGGGTACCATCTTACTTTCAAGTATTCCCTCAAATATTACCTCATCTCCATTTCTGAACCGGTATCCGAATGCCGCCATCGGCTCAATCTGTGGGGAAGGGGAGGAAGACAGGGACAAACAGGAAAACTAAGATGATGTGATGTGATGGGGAATAGGGAATTACGAAAATCGCATGCGTGCACTGTACGTGTTGTACTGGGAAACAGCATTGGACAGCCAAAAAGTTAGTTGGCATATTATGTGGGGGGGGGGGGGGGGG